CTTTCTTTCAAATTTGAATCACATTACAATCCACCTTGAGCCTTTCATGCAATGGTGCTTTCACTTTAAAGACAAAGAGAGACATACATAAGAGTAACAGGCTGGAAGAACTGATTGCTTTACAATGACAACTGGAACTGCATGTGTTTCTTGGTCAGCTTATAATGCTTGAAGGAGAATGAGTTCACTTTTACCTTCATTTCTCTGATCACTGGTGTTAAAGAAGCATACAGGTTAACTGATACCTCCTCTTCTCTTCCTATTATCTGCACTAATTCAGTACAAAACTGGTTCCCTAGAGAAAAGAGTCTCATGAGAACGGGGTCAGCAGGAGGCTGAGAACTTAGAGATAACAGCTGGTATAGGCTATCATATTTTAATATAACCATCGCATGCATAAAGGGCCTACCTTTTTTGAACAAACTCTTTAGCAGAAGGTGTAAACATGATGAATGCAGCAGTAGCTGATGTCAGTAGAAGTTGGACACTGAGAAGTCCATACACCTTTCTCAAAAAGCCTGGAATTAACAGAGGCGTTATATCACCATAGATGTAAAGCTGAGGTAGTCTAAACCTAGTTATAAGCTTACATTGATCATTTCATTATGACAGATGCATATAACCTTAATGAGGATAATTTTGGTAATTTTGTGAGTGATATGATTTCAAATATGACCATATATGTAGTAAGTTTAAATGATATGGCATGCATGACTACATACAACAACCCTAATATGAAAATAGAAGAAATGCCATTTCTTGATCATATATGAAACCATCATATCTTAGGCAGCCTATTTGATACATGGCAAGTCATTTCAGAAGTCATTGCAACTAATTTTTTTTTATTGCACCAATTTCATCATACATAGTTACTTGTGTAACTGCACTTTGCCATCTTGACTTATAGACCAATGTCATCCAACACCACATTATTTGCAATGATGAAGTCATTGAGTGCACAGAATAAATGGCCATGGAGGGGTTCTTTCAGCAATGGAATCAGATTAGAACCAAAACAGGCCAAATCAGGTGAGTATGGAGGATGTTCAATGACCTGGGTAGTTCCATCTTCCAAGAAGCACACTCAAAATTTATGAAATACCATGCCAAGTTTTCATGGACAATGAGAGTGCCTTGAGCCCAGGCTAGGAAAACCCTTGCAAACCTGTGAACAAGGTTCGCAGGAACAGAGATGTGTGCCCGCTTAGTCCGCTTGCATATCCTTCCTGGGAAATTCCCATTTGTTGCCTCAGGTTCATGGGAAAAATATGTTTTTCCTACACTGCTTGAGCCTGAAGTTGTGGATGATGTCACAGAACAGCTGGTGGCAATTTCTCAGAAAGGAATTCCAGGAACTATATTGCATTAACTGAGAATTCCAGTCAAAGAAAAGGCATGCTACCATCCAACATCTTTGAACATTTCCCCTACTCACCTGATCTGTTACCTTGTAGCTTTGACTTGGTTCCAAGCAGAAGAAAAAAACCTTCATGGGCATTGGCTTGCATTTACCAACCTTGACATGGCAACAACAGAGTTGTGGCATGTATAATTTGCTTTTCACATTCTGATGTCATAATACACTTGTGATGCTGGAGGAATTCTTCAACCCTTTCAGGAGTATGAATGTACTGGTACATTCATACTCATGAAAGGGTTAAGAAAACTCACTCCTCAAAGGATTAATGGACTTCCTGGGGATGTTCAAGAAAGCTGCCCATAAGTAAGGATCCATGTACAATGGTAATTGGCGCAATTAAAATTGTAATGACTTCTGAAATGACATTGACATAAGACAGTCACATACCATGTTCATTAGCAAGTTCAGAACTTTTCATTAGATGTTCACTATGCAATATGTAACAAAAGCCAGGAACCCATGGATTATTACAAGGCTAGACTGGTTAGACTCACCCTCCTTGCTGATAGAATAATTTCTTGCAAGAGTTACAGAAATCACAAAAATTAGTCCAAGTGACAGAGAGAGACCCAACTTGAGCCTAATTAAAAATCTAAGCCAATGTACAATCATTCTTAAGTCACTTACCCAACAATTGGAGTAAACATGTATGCAGTCAATTTTGGAACAGGATGATGGGCTAAATTAGGATTTTTAGGTCCTCTTTCTAGAATATGCTATTTGGTGACAGAGTGTTGGGCAAAAGTCAGGGAACATAGGAATTTTTGAGGACTTTAATTTTCAAAGTGACTGCTTGATGGCAGCACATTTCCATACCTCTTTTTCATCAATTTGGCCTACAAAAGTCCAGTGAAGAGTGCTCCCTCTGCATCCACTGAAATTGGCTGCAAATGAATGACCATTACTCACCTTGACCAAGTATGGCAATTTTGATGATAATGAGTCATGTTCTTGTTGGTTACCTCCATGCTTGCACAATTTTGCCATAATTTCATAGAAGATATTTGAGGGCGATTTTTTGACTGAGTGCTGTGAAATAATGCAACAATGGTGTATTAAACCAAAAAACAAGTGGAGTTGGTGATGATTTATGCAAAAGCAGATAACAGTTTGTGGCAAACTACTATGATTATCATGAAAAATACCTAAATTATTTTTTTTATTAGACTGCCAATTCATAGCATTTTGGATTTGATAGCAGAATTCTGAACAACCAGCAAAGTTCTTGATGCAAAAAAAAATTGCTATCAAACAGCAGTGCTGGCCCTTGTGTGTATATAGCCCCAATAATCAAAGCGAGAGATGTTGAGAACTATGGGCATTAGTGAAGATCAATAATAAATAAATTTAATTTCTCAAATAAGTCCTATGTTCCCTGACTTTTGCCCCACCCTGTATCATAGCCCAATTGCTGTGAGCTACAAAAGAGGGGTGTTTGAATCAATTTTGTAAATAAAAGTCAACAAAAGGAGTGGTTCAAAAAGTAAATTGCCCCAAAAGGGACAACATCACATTCAGCTAGTCTCAAAACTCTTCTATCACTACTCTTCATTCAATATTTTTATGGCCCATAGCAACTACACTTATCAAACTTGAGTTTCATTAATAAGCTAGTATTCTCTTCCTGAAATATTGCACATTTTGGATATTCCTATATTACAACAGAAGTGAATGACAAATAGAATAGGCAAAACCTCATTTGCCTATGCATGCTTGGAATGAGCTGGGGGAGGGCAGTTTAGGCATAACATACATAATTACATAAATATGTAGCATCAATTAACATAGCAATAATATATTTATTTTTAAGGTGAAAAAAAAGTCAAGAAAGCATAGAAAGGTTAATTTCTCATGAAAAAAATTAGTTTCTAGTGCAAATAACTCCAACAAAAGAAAAAAATAAAAACATACTTAGCAAAACAATGGTACAGCACTCCACTTTATTTTTTTCCAAAACAGATATAAACAATCCATCATGAGGACCTACACATATTTTTGCTTCTGAGAGCATGTACTTTCCAGGCAGAAATTTTTTTACTTCTGATGAAAATATTTATTTTTCTAATTATTCAGACACTCAGTTCCTTCATTACATGTTATAAATTATGATATACAATAGAGCTCCTCAAGTTCTATCAAACCATTTGCAGCTTTTAAGGTTTTGCTCATCACACCCATAATCTTCTCATATTGCAACCCCTGGATCTCCAATATATTACCATATGTGGCAGCTGAAGGCAAAAGGGATGATAAGACTTGGTCTCAAGACTTTCCAAATACTTTCCTGAAACAAATGCATGAAAACTAAACGGAGGGGATCAAGCATGATAACCACTGGGGTTACTTGAGCTTAGCACATGTGTGTAAACGTTAGTCCCAAGCCTATCTTAGGCTGAGTGAATGAAGTTTTTTCCATTAAAATCCTCCATCCTGACTGTTCTGTACGATAAATTGAATAAAAATAAACTGACCAAGTCGTATATATACGTGCGCTTGGGCAACATTGTTATGGTAGCAGAAATCGTCGGTGATTGAAGGCTCCTCAGGGTCAAAGTGTTTTGAACCCACATCTTCATTCATTCCCACTGGATTCAATAATGAGCTAGAAAGCGCCATTCTCTTCCCTGTGAATTTGGTGCACAATCTGACGGATGAAGACCTTCGTGTCGTATAGGCCAAACCTCTCACGTCAGTTTGAAAACTGGAATATTGGAATCCGATGAAAATCCAAAGATTCCTGGGCTAAGCGCAATCTGGTGAGTCTTCTATGTACCCGGACCACCACGTGACCACGGTGTTGGGATGTGCTTTTTCTGAAGTGTTGTCGGGTTTTTCTCCTTGAAGTAAATTATGTGATGCGACAAGTAAGGAAGCTTATGAAGGTGTTTTTCATTAAATTCCAAGGACGACTCTCCAGCACAATCTTTGAACTTGATTTCGATGCTTGAGTGTCCTTATCAGGTGCGCTGCCTCCTCCTGAGACAGACGCAGTGACGCTATGCAAGTAGCTTCTGCAACTTATCATGGCGGTTTCCATCCGCGTCTCAGCATACCTCCAACCTAAAGATTGTATGCAACGTCGTTTCCTCCCCCCGCCTTTACTATGGGCATTGTTCTAGGGCCCACAAGGACCGCCTTAGAGTGGTTTCGCTTGGCTCAGCGTACAGGAATAAGCAGTGTATGTTGATCACCGATAGCGGGAACTCGGCCTTGGTTGAAGCCCATTGCCGAATCTCTAAATCCTAATTTAGGATTAAGACTGCACTCTTTAAATGTATTTAGCTATTGCTACAAAGAGATATGAGCAGTTAGTTGTACTGAGCTACTATCACATGGAAATATGCGTAGCTAAATGTACTGAGCTACTGTCTCAGGGACATGAGCAGACCAACTCTCCCAACAGGAAAGACAATTCTTTTGTTGGGAAAGGAGCCTCTCTCCGAATGCGTAAAACGTATGCTGAGAATCATGCAGCATCCTCTAAAATAGGTAATCGCTATATTTAGAGCTGTTCTTGATGCAGGGGTCCAGGCCAGTACAGCTTCAATTCGTGATTTTTCATTTTGTGAACATCAAAATGACAGTAATGAGTCTGGTTGCATTGGTTGCAGGAAAAATTATATTTCCCTGCTCCAACCAGCCAACTGGCCAAAAGGTAGATTTGGGGTTTGCCATTTTGAAACTCTGACTGGTAGCTCTACAAAATAAACTCAGGAGACAACTGATTTGGTAGAGTTAATATTATATGCCCATTTCTTGGTCATTTTCACATATGTCATGGGAAAAGGCAATAGTGACATGGAAATAGGAACAACACGAATGAATGAAACACAGTACATTCAGATAAGAAATGAGTAATAGGAAGACAATGTTAGAAAGAAGGAAGAAATACATTAGTCAACTTTTGACTCTCCAAGAACCGAAAGGTTTGTAATGGGGTTGCCTGGGTTGAGATGCCCCTCACCTAGAATTCCAGCAATAAGGAAAGGTCATATATGGTAGTTATATGCAATAATTTATATAATATAAATTCATATATTTTTCATGTATTGAAATATGAACATACATAAGAGGATATATATTGTTGTAACATATGATCCATATCAGGATTATTCATATATTAAACATACCTGAGCAGCATATATGTTTTAAATTAAGTAATTCTGTGGTTTGAGGGATGGGCTCTTGCATAGATGATGTACCTGGTTTAAGTATGAGGGGTGATTGGAAAAAAACTTTATAACCAGCCTCCAAAGTGTTTCTATATACTGCAACCAAATGATATAGGTGCTGCATAGAGTGCTCACAGGAGCATACTTTTCCACATAATCCTCTTGGACGGTGAGACACTTGTCCCATCATGGTAAAAGATTTTCAATGGCTGCAGCATTGGATTCCTTGTCATTTGCAAACTGCCATTTTTTAACCTCTTTCACCACCTCAGCGTCTGACTGGACTCAAATTTTCTGTACCATGCAGCTACCAGTTGTCTGGATTACACACCATCCCCATACGCCTTCAATAGCTGGCAATGAATTTCCGCAGGGTTTTTTGGCCCCCCCCCCCCCCCCAAAAAAAAAAAAAAATAAAAGCCGGAAATAAATTTCCCAGGGTTTTTTTGGCCCCCCCCCCCCCCAAAAAAAAAAAAAAAACCAGTCTATTGAATTACAACACTGGACCAATTTTCCAAGCACATCACCATTTCACAACAGCTCTGCTCACTTGACATGAGCAGTACAAGTGACTCCTCGCACATTTTTTGCCAAGTGCAACACCCTTAATATCCCTAGTTGCATGCCCACACTACCCTCCTCATGGTTCTTCTGTAATGGGCCATGTAAACATTTTCTCCAATCAACCCTCATATATGATTATTATAAAGGACTTTCATATATATTAAATGCATGCTCAGCATGCATGCTTTTATGACAAAATATATTGCTTATATATATCCCATATGCATAAGGTACAGTAAAAAGTTGATATGGTATGGTCATACCCACATAGTATGGTGACATTCCATGGGTGTTTCCAACTGGACAACTTGCCTCAAGTTCTTTATGGGATATTTTAAGGACATCTTCAGTTGAAGAATACCATATGGGACAACCCTTTAAAAGTAAAGTTTGTCCTGTATGAGAAAGGCTCCCAGGTATTTTGATATCACTGGGAAGTCTCTAGTAGTTATCTCTTGGACTTTTCACTTGTCCCAAGGGGATATCTTTGGGATGTACCGGGTGTTGCACATAGATAGCCCCCCCCTCCACAGCCTAAACTATAGAAGCTAGGAAAAAATTATATATATTTTTTGAATCCTTGTTCAATTTTGAATCTATTCCATATCATTTTGTTTTTTTCCTGATGTCATATGATGGTGAAAAACTTAAATTCAATTATTACCTGTGCTACTACTTTTCGAACTCATGACACCAGAGCTGAATTCATTACCTGTTCATGGGTTTCAAAAAATATTAAACGTACAGCTTCTGTCTGATGAAGCCCTATTTTTCAAAGCTTTGATCACACAGCAATTGCTGAAAGGCTCAGGGATTCCTTTTTTTTTGGAAATGCGGAATGGCCAGGAAACTCCCGATCTGAATGTGGCTGAGAACATGGGGTCATCCTGAAAGACCGAGTTGAGGCTCATGCACTTGGAGGGCAAGGAGCATGGATTCTCCAGGGAAGCCTTGCAAAGTGACATCACCAGGTTTTTTAGGGACGTGGAAGATGACACCAAACTCTTTAAGCACCTCTTTTCATCTCACCCCGCTTGTATTAAAGCTCTCGGAGACAGAGCCAGGGTGCATAAAAATTGAGAAGTACATGCTTAGATTAAAAAAATGAATGCTCTTTCTCATGATATACAAGTTATTTTCCTTGCTCTTATAGTTTAGGCTGTGGGGGGGGGGCTATCTATGTGCAACACCCAGTACTTGTGCTGTGTTAGATGTAAATGATTTTTGTATTTCCACAGAAGTGCCAGGTGAAGTACCAATTCTCAGTGTAGTTCATGAAGTTTTTTTGACATTTGAGAGAGACTTGTTGGAGTAACATGATTTCATGTACCTGATTTAGCCATATCTCTTATCAGGTGTGACAAATGACCCACTATGCACTAGATATGTATGCTAAGTCATTCACCTATTTTATATGCTCCTCCATATCATGTACATACATGTTTTTATAAAATTATTATATGGACTATGATCATATACTCAATGTTTCAATAAGAATATATGATAATATATTTTCCCCCATATATGTTCATATAATATATATTATAGACCATATGTGTTCCATATATTGTATGTGCCCATTTCTCATTAAATCATTTATGATTTTTTCATATGAGCAAATAAGAAGACTAATGCAGTAATTTACATTTTCAATCCAAATTTTCCTTCTTTTGTGACAATTTAAATTTTTTTTGGAGTTATTGATATTGTATCTTGTGGAATACTGTTGTAGTATGTTATTGAAGATGCCATTGCAGGATCATGGCTTGTATGTATAAATAGCAATTTCTGTTTCTAATTGGTATTTTATATTTGTCTATTGCAATTCCTAGTATGCAAGAGCACAAAAGTGATGAGGCTATGTCAAGTTGCACAGAGTAACATTAGGTTAGTTGATCTAACAGTTAATACTAACAATTGACTAAGTTAACCCTTTCACTGTTGGAAAAAAGAAGCACTCACCATCCCATCTATGTTTTAAAAATTGCAAAGTTTCTCTGTGAACGATGGTTAATGTTTAACTCGTAGTACGTTGAAAACTATTGATTATAGATCTTAAAAGATTTTGAACAATTTATTCTCAGGAACAGCCAGACTGTTATCAGAGAAGTTCAGGAATTTTGAGATGAATATGAATCTATTGACAAACATAATTTTAATAAAACTGAATAATGGGCTGCTTTGTAATGCCCATTAAAATCAGTACAGAAAGAAATATACAAAAATCCTATGCAGATAGGTTTTTCCATTCTTTTACCCTTGAATATTCACTAATGGTTGTGTTAGAAATTAAGTCTGATGCTATTTGTTTGTCACTATGTGTTCAAGGAGCCCATTTATGAAAATTAGTGCAAAAAAGTCTGTCTTAGGGATTGTTGGAATATCTAATCTCAATCCAGGATTACCTGTAAAAGTCAAGATATGAGGTGCATGGGGATTCTTGCTCAAGTTAGGTCCAGCATCAGTTTTTGCCCCCTTAGTCTACCTCTATTCCTGCTTGCATTGCCCCCCCCCCCCCCCCATCATTGTCATAATCTTCATTTTCATTTTAAGTTTCAGCTTTAATGTCCATTTCGACATCACTTTCACTGTCGCTACTATCACTGGAAATATAAGATCAGGATTCAAAAGTACATTTATTTCATCATCATCTAACAAAACTATGTGCATAGGAAACCATTTTGAAAGATTGGGTTAGTAAAATTACACTCTGTTTGTTATTTAATACTTCCAAAAATCATATACATTGACAAAAGCAGCACTGTTACATGGAAAAAGATGTAGTTCCAACAATACCTAATATAGGGTGGTGCAAAAGTAAGTATACAGTTAGCTCTTTATTACTTATTACTTACTATTACTCTTTATTTATTGCTTTTATTAATTTTTGTTTATTACTTTTCCAGTACATCTGTAACAGCCATTTTCATTGCTCAAAAGTCAGGTTCCTGCCATTATCCTCTACCTGTAAATATAAAAATAAAATAAAATTACTGCACTATACCTACTTTTGCCCCATCTTGTATATAGCACTTAAAATTCATAAATAGTGGAGAAACAGCCTAAAAATACTGACTTTTTGAGCCTGAGGGCATACTTGGGCACCACCATAAAAGCATCATATGCAGCCCGAGAATGTACTTGGGTAAACACTGAAAGGGTTAATATTCAACATTAGGGATACACCACAGAAGTAGAATGCAATGAGGACCTTGACTTTGTACCATCTGCAATCTTTAAGTCTATGGTGTTTTTCAGTAAAGTTTGAAGATTTTTAATTTGAAATTTAAACGCCCAAGACTGGCTAAATAATATCATCACTCTCATGCAGTAATTACCTGGCCTAATTATGGAAGTCAGACAAATTAAATGTGCAGTGTCCTTGTGACTTACAATCTGTTTGACTTGATGCTTATCGCATGGATTGCTTCTTGTGCCAACAGGTCAGGAATGAGCTGCTCATCCTCTAGCTTATGGAAACAGGGACAATGAGAAGGTGTGCTTTTCTGTGGAATAGATGACTTGATTTGAACCTCTCAATTCCTTCCATATGGATTAGATGTCATTGTCTTACATCCAATGGGGGCTAGAAAAGGGAAGAGACTGATAAATAAAGATTTATTGGGCAAACCTGAATGTGAGAACTCGTAAGTACAAGGTTGGAGACCATCAACAAGGCTAAGGTGATACATGCAGATCAAAATGCCTGCTCTCTTAAATGTTAATGAGTTCATCCAGGAGATGCGGGAGGATTATTCATCTCCTACTACTTCTAATTTCATGTCCCGCATGCCTCAGTGCAGACAGATTGTGTCCTCCTTGGAGGAAACTCTTGATGTTGACCGTGAAAGCTTAACCAAGATGAAGAAAGCTGTCAAGGCTATTTACAACAGTGGAAATGCTCATGTGGACAATGAACTTTATTTGTCTCAAGCACTTGAACGATTGGGACATATAGCCTTAAGCAAGGATCAGGAACCTGATTTGGGTGCTGCTCTTATCAAGTTTTCTGTTGTTACAAAAGAGCTCTCCAATCTAATGAAGGGACTGATGCATCACCTTAACAATATTATCCTCTTTCCTCTTGATTCATTGCTCAAAGGTGATCTTCGTGGGGTCAAGGGAGACCTCAAGCGTCCATTTGACAAGGCCATGAAGGATTATGAAACTAAATATTCAAAGCTTGAGAAGGAAAAAAAGGCCCAGGCTAAAGAAGCAGGACTCATACGTACAGAAATCATGCCTGCTGAAGTGGCAGATGAGATGGAGAAAGAAAGACGTCTGTTCCAGTTACACATGTGTGAATACTTGATCAAAGTGAATGAAATCAAAATGAAGAAAGGAGTTGAACTGCTGCAGCACCTGGTAGAGTACTACCATGCCCAGAGCAATTACTTTCAAGAGGGCTTGAAAACTATGGAACATTTTGGTAATTATGTTGCTGAGATGGCAGGAAAGCTTCACCGTATTCGTCAACAGGGAGATGAAGAAAGGCGTCAGTTTTTGGAACTACGATCCCTCCTTCGAAATTCACAGGCACTCTCATCTGAAAAGGAGTCTGGAGGAATGGTAGTGGCACAACCAAGCACTGGCTATAGCCTTCATCAGCTGCAAGGGAATAAGGCCCATGGTACTGAAAGGATAGGCTATCTTTTCAAGAAATCTGATGGAAAAATGAGAAAAGTATGGCAAAAGAGAAAATGTGAAGTCATTGAAGGGTACCTATGCATTCGCCATTCTGATGAGTCCAAACCCCCCTCTATGGTTAATCTCCTGACTTCTCAAATCAAACTTATTCCTGATGATCGACGATGCTTTGACTTGGTTGCCTATAATAGGACGTACCATTTTCAAGGGGAGGATGAAAATGATCGAGATGCATGGGTATCAGTTCTCATCAACTCCAAGGAACGATTGCTCATGCATGCATTTCATTCAGGAGGACAGCAGCGACCTGCTAATGATAGTGTCTCTGCCTCATTTGTAGAGCTGCAGCAGCAGGTGGTGAAGCAAGTTATGCAACTGCCTGGAAACGATTTGTGCTGTGACTGCAGCAACACAAATGATGTCACATGGCTGTCTACCAACTTTGGAGTGTTAATCTGCATTGAATGTAGTGGTGTGCATCGAGATCTTGGTGTTCACATTTCCAGGGTTCAAAGCTTGGTTCTCGACAATGTTGGAACAGCTCACCTACTGGTTGCTAGAGCCATGTCCAATGTAGCATTCAATGATACTATGGAAGCCACTCTGAGGAATGGAAAGCCAACACCCACTAGTACCATGGAAGAAAGGAGAACCTTTATTCGTGCTAAATATGTGGACAAAAAGTATGTGTTGCGCACAACTGTTGATAGCAGGGAGCTATTGACTGACTTGGAGCAGGCTGTGGTATCACGCCACTTGTACATGCTTTTGCAAGCATGGGGAGAAGGTGCTGACATATCAGCCCCATTACCTTCTAGACCTAACAGAGAAACAGCACTTCACATTGCAGTTGAACAAGAAGATGGTTCATCTCTCCACATAGTTGATTTTTTGGTTCAAAACTCCCCTGATCTGAATGTGCATACTGCTGTGGGAGATACCTCCCTTCACGTTGCTGCCAATCGAGGACAGACTGAGTGCATTAAACTTCTTCTTCGAAGTGGAGCTGACCCTAATGTGGAGAATGCTGAAGGACACACTCCATTGAATATTGCACGTGACAAAGGTTATGACACTTGTGCTGAATTGGTACAACATGCTTTGGCCAATAAAAAGAGCATGTTTGAAAATGTTAGCTGCGATTGGGCCATCAGTCAGGATGAAGCGTCAACAGACCTGAGTGATGAAGAAACAATGGTGGACACAACTCGTCCTGGTAGTGTCACTCCTGCAGGAAGTGAAGTAAATGTGACCCAGAAGGGTCACGTGATGTCTCAACGTTCCACTAGTCGCAGTAGTTCAGTTAGTGTAGTGGAACAAGGAAACTCTGGTGGAGCTGACATTCTTTATCCTGGTAGCAGCATTGAGGGAAAGAAGTCAATAAATACAGGATCTCTGAAAAAGAGAGCTGCTCCACGTCCTCCACCATCATCAACATCCTCAACTGATCGATCTTATCCATTGAAGACTCCTCCAGATCCATCATTAAGTCCAGGAAGTGGAGTGCCCGGGCATCGCAGGAGTCCCTCTGGTGCAGCCATTGATGCCAGCACTGGACCGGGAAGGGGTGTGCCAATGGCTGGTGCAAGACAGGTGTTGCCATCAGTTCCAGTGCCAGGGAACTATCTTCAGCTGCGTCACACAGGCAGACATGTGACTGACTTGCTCAATGGACAAGGGCTCCCACTTGCAGATGTTGAAGAAAAACCACCAACTCTCCCTCTCCCAAGACAGACTCCTGACTCTCGACAACGTGCAAGAAAGTGTCGTGCTCTCTATGACTGCGATGCAGATAATGAGGATGAGCTCTCCTTCCGTGAGGGGGACATTATCTTCATTACTAACACTGAGACTGATGATGAGAATTGGCTTGAAGGACAGTTGGAGCGTGACCCATTGCAGAAAGGACTTTTCCCTGTTTCCTTTGTGCACATGCTCAATTTGTGAGAACCCGTACAAAGTCAGGTGAAGGGCATTCTGGAGTAGGAGGTTTTAACCCATCACTGTCATCTTTCCATTGTTGTAAGATACATATAGATGGAACCAGTGCTATGTTTGTTTGAAAGGCTATCCTTTCCATGTTCAATACTCAATGATGTCTAGGCCTAGGCACCAGATCTGAAACGAAACATTGTTGACTGCCGTACCTCATTTTGTATTAAGAATTATTGAACTTGTATCTCATCATCAGAAGGTCATGTCCCTCATTGATACATGTTGGTACACATAGATGAGTGACACAAACTCAATCCTGTTTGAGTTGATACTAAAATTAGTTCATGGCAACCCTGCTGACCTAATGCAAACTCCTTCCAAATGGTTATACCTATATATTGAAACATCTTGTTACTCAATCTTCAAACACTGATAGCATTTTTTAGAGCTTTTCTTATATGATGATGGTAAAGGTTCATGTTCCCGGTCATGCAGGTTCAGTCAGATTAATATAATTCTCACCATGAGGTGTAGAACAGTAAGACTGAAAGTTGATGTATAGATGTCATGCTTAAGTACCAGCACTCCCTTGACATTGTGTCAAGAGGCTCCTGAAGCCCTGGAATGAGAGTGTCTAATATAAATCATGATTCATGTAATACCATCCTTTCCTTTGTTCTGTTATCTGCAGGAATATACATGTCCCTTAAAAGCAACTGTGTTCTCTAGAGTCAGATACACATAGATCCAGAAGTGGTGGTTGACCAAGTAAAGTTTTCATAAAGCTCTATACAATTGTCCCTTCCCACAATCTAAACCACATGGCAGAGCAACAGAATTCTGATCTCCCTAGTCACTCATGATAGATCAAAAGTATATTTCTGATCAGATCATGATGGATTATACATATTACCTCCAGCTTTGCCACATTATACCAAAGTCTTCATTCCAGATCTGTATACTCCTGCAGATTTCTATGTATTTATGATAGGGTCACACTGGTATGCCACATTCATGCTGTTAAACATCTTAAACCTACCCATTTCCCAGTCAGGTACCCCTGATTGCTGCAGGTCCCATATAAAAAAAAAGAAAGAATAGTAATAATTGGAGGCATTGGAATGATGCCAGTGAGGTACAAAATTGGTAACAGTATGTGTGTGCTGTTGAGAGAGAGATTACATACAGGGTGTCTCAAAAAAATGTATACACACTTTATTTATAATTAAATAAAAAAAAATATATATAGAATAATTCAGATAGGTACAATGTTCAGTTTGTGGAGAAGCAATGATTTGCATCATATGGTTCACTACTACAGTTGTTCAAATTGTTCACTGTTGGCACCCAGGCACTATTGACTCCAATGAACAACATAGCAATAGACTCGTACACAGGTTTCTGCTGGGATAGTAGTGCAGGACTTAGGAATGCTTGCATTACAACAACAACAGCATTGTCCTCACATGTAGATGTGCAAGGTCTCTCAGATTGTTGTTTGTGCATGTCTTGCACTGTACCATCAGCATCAAACTTATCAGGAATTCTCAAAATTGTTAGTTATGTTGGTGGCTCAGTTACAAGTTCACTTCACCTTCTTTGCACCTCAAACATGTTCTCAGATTCCCAGTTTAACTCCAAAATCAACTTTTGTTGCTCTAATGTCAAGCAAGCTTGTGCCATCTTGCGTTACACACTGCCTCATGGGTAACAGTTACCTGACGACACACAATCATTTCATTACACAGTAGCATCATATGCTAGGTACATATCACACTAAGCATTGTCCCTCTGAATTATGTAACATGTATTTTTTATATATTAAAGTGTGTATACATTTTTTTGAGACACCCTGCATAAAGAGAATATTTTTTCAAGTTTCCCAAAGAAGACACAATTATCTGACTTTATGCCTGAAGAATCACAAAACTATCATTGAATCGTGAGTTTTGAACTGATTTACAGTAAGGAAAAACAAAATGAAATGTATAAAAAGCAGACAAAAAGAAAAAAGATTTGTTTATAGGGAGATTCTTCATCTCTAACCCTTTCCTTGGGTGAGAACTATGTACAATCCTACCTATCCTGGTGGGAGTCATTTGTATAAAATTTCAGAAATGCCCAGTCATATTCATTATTTTACTATAAAATTTTTTTTGCTGAACCTGCTGATAAGAGGGGAGTCAAAGGTATTAAAAGCAAGTAAGAATTACAGTCCTACATTTTCTCTGTCAGGAAATGGATGGGCCCTACATGGCATCTCATCTCACCAAAGAACATGACTAACTGCTGCAATCCCACTTGATGTAGGTTTGCTTTTTGATTGCTGTTTGGTGCTTCTAATAAGGATAAAGAATTTCAGCAATTTTTGGGATTTGGTGCTGGCAAGTTTTTTCTCCTGATCATGCAATCACTATCCTACCTTGTATTATTATTTTTTTCATTGTCCCCCTCCATCCTTCCTTATTACTCTCAATCCCATATTGAAAAATGATTGCAAATCCTAACTTCCTCTGCTGATTAACTCCTCAACAGCATCAAGCATGTATAAGTGTCCTTATATAAATTCCCACATACAGGGTGGGCCAAAAAAAACTTCAATTATCTTTAATGCTTCACAGCATAGTTTTTTGAGAGTTTGAAATATTGCAATAGCATCTCTGTATTGAACATTTATATCTAGCTTTCCACTGCTGTCAAAAGATTTAAGATCCATTCCATCATTCTGATGCAGCTATGCACAGAGAAACAAAGATAGTTTTTGAAAAGGACTTTACCTGTACCCTGCAAGATGTGCTCCAGGGGATGTCCATTCTTTCGCTTGCACATGCACAATCTTGCCAAGGCATTGTTCACATTTCCAGCACCACCTCTTATGAATTGAATACCTAGGCACTATTGCAATTTTAGCAAACTCTTGGGGACCAATGCTTTTGAGTGATAAAGGTAACTGAGTGATAAAGTTGAGTGCTAAAGGTTTTTTCTGCCCCACCTTGTATAAATATTGAAAATCCATTTTTGTCAATGTGCATTGAAATATATCAGTCAAGTGACTTAAAGCATTGTTATAAAATTGTATTCTTTTTTTATTGCAAAAAAATCCTCAAAGAGTAGAAATTAGTTCATTTTTAAGAGGTTAACACTGTTAGTGTTGTTGCTGAGAAAGTTATTAAATTTATTCTCTCTAGAGCTTTGCAGTTTGCCAAGATGGCATTGATACCGACACAGCAGAAACTGGCAGAGAAGTTAACCATCTTAAATGACAGGGGCTTGGGTATGCTTACACGAATCTACAACATCAAGAAGGTGATTCAGTTTAACCATGCTACACTTTCCTGGTTTCTTGTGAAGCACAGGAAATCATTGGGCTGGTCTTTTGTGCATTGAAATTTTCAATTCGTCATGTAGGCATGTGGAGACCCCAAGTTTAAGCCCTCCTTCCTCTCTGACAAAGGACTGGATTCCACAGTCAAGACAGTTGTGAAACGGTTTCCCAATATCGATATTAAAGGGGTTGGCTTCCATCCTCTTTCCATTGTATTAGTAAATTCTGAGGATGAAGCTTTTCACTCATTGTCCATCTCCTCTTTCATCAGATCCAGAACAACCTGTCACCAATAAGGGCTGATGTCCTGAAGAGTCTTGCCTTGTATTACAATACCTTTGTAGATCTCTTGGACTTGAGGGATCACATTTCTGAGCTCTTCACAATCATGGATGCTTGTGCAGTCCACCTGGATATTGTAAGTTGTATTTTTGATTAGTAGTCTGAATGTCATTGTGTGTATACTGAAATTTTCCTCCAAATCCTCTTTGCGGTCATTTTCCATCCAGGGATTAAATTATGACATGACGAAAGGCTACCTGGACCTTATGGCAACATATGTGAGTCTCATGCTCCTCCTTGCCAGAGTGGAAGATCGGAAAGCTGTGCTTGGCCTCTATAATGCTGCCCATGAGATGACCCATAACCAGGGGTATTGTGTTCTGTCTCAGTTTCTTTCCACTTAGCACTAAGCAGAGACATATCTCATAGATCATGAGCAAATTAGTAGAAATGCATGTTTTTCCTTCAATATTCATCAGGGCATCAGGCACAGGTATGGCCTTATATTACTGGAGGTGTCGGTGATTGGTGCCATTTTTTTAAATTGTTAACATGAAGTTGCTAAAAAAAAAAGAGTAAAATATGCAGAACTTTCAAATATGTGAATGCTTGTGTGATTCTGCCTATTTAACACATGCTATTTGCTATTCTACATATTTTACTTAGTAATTTACTTTTTTTTAATAATAAAATTGCAAGCTAACCATGAACTAGTTTTATGAGAGATGTGCTACATATCTTTTAATTGCTAAATTATATATTGAAATTATATATGATAAATTATACAATCCTTGCAGACTCAGTCTACCTCAAACCAAGGAACACTATAAATATACTTTGAGAATACTCTTTGGATTGATACTCATTGATCCTTATACCATTCATTTGGAATGAGCATATGAAAACTATCTGCTTGAGATGATCAGCCCAATGAATGAATTTGAATGGAAGAGGAGTTCGATGTGGTCTTGAAGACCAGGAAGGACAGCACTCAACAGCCCTCCTCTCCACTACCAGCTGGAGCTCTTGTCCTCAATGTTTAACATCTTTTCAATAATTGCTGATATTATTGCTTTGGCCCAAAAAATTCCGATGGAATTTTTAGAATCAATTGGAAACTTACTTATCTACAAAATGTGAATGCTTTGCAAAAATAGCTCCAGTTTAAGTGTAGATATTTAGGCTAAAAGTCATAGATTTTTTTTTTTTTGCCATTCCCTGCATGCACACAGCAGCAATTAAGGCATTGAGCAATCTTGCTAATGATGTGGGAACCTTAATTTATTGGAGGAATGGCCAGATGGCAGGGCAGTTGGTAGGTCTTACTTTCTTTGCTCGACCTCCAACAGTTGTTCACAGCACATCTACCCTGACAACTATCACATACTTCCATCATGTCTTCACTGGACAAACTATAAATACAGTCAATTCTTGTTATACTGCCACTTGATATACTGCCACTTGATATACTGCCAAATTTGGCAATGACCCAACTGTGGTGTTATATTGAGGGTTGACTCTTAAAAAGCAGTGCTTGTCCCCCTGGATTCAAACCTGTGTCTTCTGCCATGGGAGACCTAGTTGCCATCAACCAAGCCACTCCCAGGCTCCTTTTAATGGTGGTCTGATGTGCATTGGATGTTCTGATGCTACTTTCGACCAGAAAGTGTGCATTGTTCATAATGATGCTGACTCCATCTCGATGCAGTGAATACTGTATTTTTCAACTGCCTAGCCTTGTTTGTTATGTTTTCTTGTTACTCAGTATGTTCAAATATGTTTCATGTCTCAAGAAAATACACAGGTTTTGTTTGTTTTTTTGTTGATAAGTGGCCATATTTCACTAATGATATGGACCAAATTTGGAAAGGACCCAAATGCTCAATTTCCATGTATAGTTGAGTCACTGGATATATGGCGAGTTTGACAGGTCACCCCATTAGAGGTAATAAAATGTCAGCTAGTTAACAGCCCCCTCCCCTATTCTCCAGCTTGGAAAAACAGGGTTGCCTCAGGCAATTTTTATTCTCAAGAACAGCAGGAATGCTAAATGTGAGCAGGAGTGGTTTGCCTCTCAGGAATAACACAGGGATGCCAAATGATGAAATTGTTTGCATGAGGAGATCGTAAAGACTGTGAGAAAATATGTATACTCACCTTTGAAGGGAAGACCCTTGTGGGATCCATGTCAGAATGTCATGTCTTTGACGGTAGGAGTTAATCCGCCAACAAAGACTGGGGAGACCCTTAATGACTTTTCTTTTCCTTCTACTGCCCATATTCCCAGTGACTTGACTATATTTTTTTGCATGTGTTTTGCTGGGATGAAATAAAAGAGCCACCAAGAAATATTTTCAGCATATTGGTTAAGTTGAATTTCACCTTAAAACCATTAATGTCCCATTAAAACCAGGTTTCATTTTTCAGGGTCATATTCTGCTCATATTTTGTATTAGTCCAATGTATTCAATTTAAAATTCAAAAGTCAGTATTCAATAACTGTTTAAGTATTATTGATTCTCTAATTCTCTCTTCGTGAATATTGCAGGAAATTTTTTAATGCTCAAAAATCTAATGACTGGGAGAGAAACTTATACCTCTCTTGATTCTTGTTCTCTTCTGTCATTTGATTTTGTCAAATATTTTCCTTTCCAGTGACCCAAGTTTCCCTCGGCTGGGCCAGATGATTTTAGATTTTGAGCAACCTCTGAAGAAACTCTCAGAAGAATTCTTCACTCATTCCCGACTTTTATTGGAAGCAATTGCATCTTTGCATCAAGTTTACCCTAAGAGGAATCTCTCTTCAGAACAGTTGAGGTCAGTGTCAGAAGGGGGAAAGTAATGAACTGTCATGGACCTTCCTTGCTCTGCTCCAGTCTTTATCCCTCAATCTTTTTTAGATCCCAAGGACTTTTGAGTGTACTCAGGGATGCCAATCAGATGCTGACTCCATCTCGAAATGAAGTTGTACCAAACCTTCCTTGTGAATTTCTTTCTGTTGATGTCATGGATCGGTGGATCATCTGTGGGTATAGGTCTTGTCAGAGTTGAAAGAGAGTTTTTGACTTGTGTGTTTCTGATGTATGCCATTCTTCCTCAGTTGGGCTTGTTTTGTGCCACCAGCACATCCTCTCACCTACATTCTCAGAGTTATGGACTCAAGCTCTTCAAGGTGGCTGGGTGATATCCCTCTTTCGAGATGAACTGTGGCCCGTTCATCTAGAGATCCTGGCATTCTTTGAGTCCATTAAAGGATATGGGAAGAGAGTGGGAGAAGTAAAAGAAGCTTATAATACAGCCCTGGCAAATTCAGCACGTGTCCATAGAGAGAGACGCAAGTTCCTTCGCAGCATCCTCAAAGAACAGGCACTGATTTTTACTGATCAACCTGGTCTACTTGGCCCAAAGGTCTGATTTTACAGAACTGCGTTGTTCTTTGCTTGCCTTCATCTGATAACTTAGGATTTTTATATTTATGTTGCTTCCTTTGATTGCCTCTAGGCAATGATGGTCCTGACAGGGTTGAGTCTGGCAAGGGATGAGGTCCTCTGGCTGATAAGGCATCATGAGAACTTGCCTTCAGCTCGACAGGCCAAAAACAAGACTTCCTTGGAGGACCTTGTTGATCGCCATCTCCCTGAACTCCTCTTTTATATGGAAGAACTACGTCAGCTAGTCCGTAAATATTCCCAGGTACTTCAGAGGTACTACATCCAGTACCTTTCCCAGTATGATGCAGTGACCCTGAATCTGGAGATGCAGAATGTGGTATGTGGTGAGGATGAAAGTCTGCTCTTGACATCCCTCTTCAATACCATCTCAAATCTTTCTGTGAAACAAGGTAAGACATAATTGAAAGAAACATTGCCTTTGTTACTACACATTTGTGGTCCTGACGTATTCCCCTGTCCCAGTGGAGGAAGGTGAGGTGTTTGACCTAAGAGGATTGCGCATGGACTGGCACAGACTCCAAGCATATGCATCCTCTGGGAAGGCTCCCTTCACTCTCAGAGAGCACCCAAATCTTGCCCGCCTCCTTACAACCATTGCTTCTCATTCTCGTTTTATTGATGCCCTGGATCAGCTGCTTGTTGAAACCTCAGATCTCTCTATCTTTTGGTAAGTGCTACACTGTGAATCATGAGGGTGCTTCTCTCCATAAGGTCTCATGGGGGCACATGGTCTCCATTCTCTTCTAGCTTCTACAGCCGATTTTTTGAAGACAATTTTCACATGTGTTTGGAGTTTCCTGCTCAAAATCGGTTCATTATTGTCTTCCCTCTCCTATGTGCACATTTCCAGAACTCTACTCATGAACTTTGCCCTGAAGAAGTGAGTTTTTCATTTTCATGCTGTGCATACAGTCTACACTGGATGTTACAAACTCAAAGGGACAAACTAAGCAATTTTGTTATAAGGAAAATTCTTCATTGGGGATTCCTCACATTTTGCTGAAAAAAGTCCTCATACAAAATTTCATTTCTTCCAAAAAAAAAAAAAAAAAGATGCAGTTCATTCATGAAAACATGCAGAGGTCTGAGTGCATGTCATGTTGCAAAATTATGGCTTCCAAGATATATATATATAGGGTGGTTAACAAAAAACACTGTACTGTTTTCTTTGGGAGAAACAATTTCATAAATGTAGTAAAAAAAATTTACATTGGATACATGATTGATTTTTGACAATTACAAGGTGTAGAAATGTTTGCCAGCTTTTTTTCAGCACACCTGCCTAAGTGGTGCAATGCCCATTTAGAGGTGAATTAAAGGTGCTTTAGAGGTGGATCATTCCACCGCAAGTGAACTTATTACCTGTGCACAACCGTCTCAGAATTCAATGAACTTTTCAACTTTAACTCTTCAAGGGACAGTTGATACTTGACAGAGAGGTTCATGAGTCTTAGAGGTTTTTTTTTTACTTCCACAAGATGGTGCAGTATCCCAATAGAGGGTACTGTCGTAGACCGGGTGACTGATGGAGATTAAAAAAATGCTCCACCATTTTCAAATGGGAGAAAGTACAATTCATGTATTCTTGAAAAAATAGAAGATTCATGAACTCTTGATATTGGACATATAGGAGGTATAGAAAAGATTGTCTTTTTCTGAACAATTCTCTGAGTCATGTATTGTCCCATTACACAGTTTACAGGTGGAGTATTACACCTTTTTTTTAATCACCCTTTTTCCCCAGTCAACAACAGCACCCTCTATCGGGATTCAGCGTGATCTTGCAGAAGTGAAAAATAACTCGTGGACACATGAATCTCTCTGTGAAGTACCAGCTGGATCCAACTGTCCCTTGAAAAGTTTAAGTTGAAAAGTTCATTGAATTTTTTTATCTGGTCGAGCACAGGTAATCACTTGAGTTGGAATGATCCACCTCTAAGCACCTTATGAGATGAGATTTTCCAGGAATATCCAACAGACATGTGCTGCAGATTTAAACACCATAATACTAAACAATATTGTTCTTTCAGATGAAGAAATGAGAAATGAGAAACCAAACAATTTGTTATAACAAGAACTTTGTGATAGAGAAACTTTTTAACATACATGTGAATGGGCAAATGACCTGGAACTGGAAAAAATTTGTATCAAAGAAAATTTGTCATATAGAAGTTCATTATATTGAGTGTAGACTGTAACTGGACTTGAAAACTTATGCAAAGTGAAAGATTCCTTTTTCTTGAGTCCCAGCATACTCACCCTTTGCTCATCTTGCAACCCTCCAATCTAATTTCACTTTTATCTTTCTAGAGGCACCATATTCGTGAGCGGAGTGTGTCAGTTGTGAATCAGTTTTTGGATGAGATGTCAAAAGAAGCTAAAAACATCATTACTGCCATCTGTGATGAGCAATGCACTCTAAGTGATAGAGTGAGTCTCTCTAATCATATGATTCAATGGCATGAGATGGAATTTGCTATTGATCTCTTCTCTATCCATTTTCATCTATTTGCAGCTGTTACCAAAGCATAGTGCTACAAGCATAGCACAACAAGTGAATAAGAAGAAGAGGGAGAAGATGCGTCGTATTGCTGCTGAGACCAATAAGCCTGGTCTTGAAAGCTATCGTAAAACTCGAGAAGCTTTGACCACGTCAGTTTGAGTTTTCTTGTATTCCTTTGGCATAACTGTTTAAATAACAAAGTATCCCCACCCCATGAGCATTGTAATTAGGGATGCACCAATCCAGGATTAGCTGATACCAAAACCGATACCGATCCCAGTGTCATGGTATCAGCTGGTACTGATACTGATACCAATACAGATACAGATAGCTCCCAGTGGCTGTCAGAAATGAAACCACAATACAGGACCAGACCTTACTAGGCCTTAGGTTACCTTTGGCATAGAAGGGAAGAAATAAAAAATCCTCAGATACTAATGACCCAACTTTCAAAGTTCCTGTCATTTATTTAGCTTTGGAGACATTTACATTGGCAATATATTAGTTTCTTGAGTATAGGCCGAAACTTCCCCCACCATTCACCAGGCCTGATGAGAATACATCAGATGTAAGTACTACATACAAAGGATGGTCAGTGTGGAGAGGAGTAGAAGTAGGAACTACTTCTAATGTCCTTAAGGGATTAAGGAATTCATGCAACTACTGTACAGCTGGGATCAGTGCTCAAAGGGAGAGCCAGAGGTGGGATGGATGTGAGTACAAAGTGCACCTATGCCAACCAGTCAGCACAGGAAGGGAGGAGACAGAACGGAAGGGGGGAAAGTGAAGGAATGAATGTGTACACAAATGACACTGGCCCATTCCATTTGTACAATGCCCTTCTCAAATCTCTCACTTTCCATTTTACTCATGCTCAAGCTCATTGTCTATAAATTGGAGATTAAAAAGAACTATGATGGACATAAGGAACTGAATGCCATTACAAGTGTGGTTTTTTTCATGAGACATTCCAAAAATGTATGCACTGTGCATCAAGTATGGCGTGCGGCAAGGGAGGATCAGATCAGATCAGCCATATAGGTATCAGCTGATACCGATACTTTGGATCGGTATCATTGCATCCCTAATTGTAATATGACTTGGAAAACCTATCATCTTGGACTTGAGAGTCAGGAGAAACTGAGCCCCATACATGAAACCAAATCCAATGATTCCCAATGTCCTTGGATGCTGTTTCATGAACTACAAAACACTTGGCATGCACAACAGACCCCTTTGTTTAATACCCATAAGTTGGGTACCTTCTCAGTAAAGAGGCCTGTTTGAGTCTCTTTTTGTCATGGAACATCTAGAATTCATGATATTGACAGCAGTGCCAGGGACTTCAGAAATTCAATGGTTAGCAATGCAGGGACAGGCATCTCTGAATGCCATGTTAATGCCACAAGCCATCATTGGGATAGAGAATCCTGACTGCTGACAAATCTCATCAATTCTAATTATCAACCATAACTTTTTTTTTTCTTCTTTGCTAGTCACAAAGAAGTAATGGATCATCACAGTAAACCTGCTTTCCTCCCTCATCTTCCTTCATTCATCCCTTCTCCCTTTGTTTTCTTATGCCCTTCTGAACTTGGATGATGTTGACTCCTGAGCAAAAAAAAAATCATACTTATCAAATCCCATATACTGCCCCAGATTATGATTGCCCAACAAAGCATTGCATTTCGAGTGCAGTCACTCATGGTAAAAAATAAAGAGCATAGAATACAGTGAAAACTCGTTAACTCGAATCCTGATAAGTCGAAATTCCGCTTATCTCAAAGTTCAAAGCTTGGTCCCGGCGGAACCCCGTANTTGCAGCTGATGAAGGCTATAGCCAGTGCTTGGTTGTGCCACTACCATTCCTCCAGACTCCTTTTCAGATGAGAGTGCCTGTGAATTTCGAAGGAGGGATCGTAGTTCCAAAAACTGACGCCTTTCTTCATCTCCCTGTTGACGAATACGGTGAAGCTTTCCTGCCATCTCAGCAACATAATTACCAAAATGTTCCATAGTTTTCAAGCCCTCTTGAAAGTAATTGCTCTGGGCATGGTAGTACTCTACCAGGTGCTGCAGCAGTTCAACTCCTTTCTTCATTTTGATTTCATTCACTTTGATCAAGTATTCACACATGTGTAACTGGAACAGACGTCTTTCTTTCTCCATCTCATCTGCCACTTCAGCAGGCATGATTTCTGTACGTATGAGTCCTGCTTCTTTAGCCTGGGCCTTTTTTTCCTTCTCAAGCTTTGAATATTTAGTTTCATAATCCTTCATGGCCTTGTCAAATGGACGCTTGAGGTCTCCCTTGACCCCACGAAGATCACCTTTGAGCAATGAATCAAGAGGAAAGAGGATAATATTGTTAAGGTGATGCATCAGTCCCTTCATTAGATTGGAGAGCTCTTTTGTAACAACAGAAAACTTGATAAGAGCAGCACCCAAATCAGGTTCCTGATCCTTGCTTAAGGCTATATGTCCCAATCGTTCAAGTGCTTGAGACAAATAAAAGTTCGAGTTAACGAGTTTTCACTGTATTTTCAAGTTTCTAGATGCATACTATTAACAGTCCTTGGGTCAAAAAAGGTGACTGAAGGACTCTGTGTACTGCAGTTGAGCTCATTCCATGCCTATTTTTTCAGACAACTCCACTTTTTTTTCCAGGATGGACAAGATGCACATGGCCCTAACAGAACTTTGCTTTGCTCTCAATTACTGCCCCACCATCACAGTGTGGGATTACACATTTGCTCCCCGGGAATTCCTCTTCACGCACCTGGAGAGTCGTTTTGCAAGGTAGTTGTCATGGTAGTAGTAACACAATGTTGAAAGGCTTTGAAGGTAGAAAAGACATGGAAATTTGCAGGGCTCTTGTTGGAATGGTCATGTATAATGGAGAAACAGCTGAAATTGCCAAGCCCTCTGAACTTCTGAGCTCAGTGCGTGCCTACATGAGCATCCTCCAGACTGTTGAGAATCATGGTTTGTCTGTCTTCCATCTGGCCACATTTCTTGTCTTGTCTGTCTTGTTTAACTGTTTCATTTTTATGATGGCAGTGCTAATTGACATCACTCGAGTGTTCAACAGTGTGCTTCTACAGCAGACTCAGATGTTGGATAGTCATGGAGAGCGAACTATTGCATCCCTCTATTCCACTTGGTCTGTCACCTGTTTTTCCTTTGTTCAGTTCAGTTTATTTGTGCATGAAGAACATTGCACATGTCATATTTCGTTGAAATGCAATTAACCCTTTTATGGGCAAATTTTTTCTAATGTGCAAATGACAAAATTCAGTAAATTTTCTTTTTCACTTGCAGAGACTTTTATTTTGAGAACTTATTTTATTTCCAGACTTTCTTTGACTGTAAAAAATCATATTTGTGTTGGGAATTATTCTTCCCACACTTTTTGTCACCACAAATTCATAACATTGCTGACATTGTGGTTCTAAACATATACGATCTTCCACAAAGCAGTTGAGCATACAGAGGCTCAGGGATCCCTTACATGTGTCTACAAGGAATGAAATTACTTGAAACACATTGTGTTTCAAGTTTCCGTTTTATGCATGCTCTGCTCCAAAATGGCTTCCCTAAAGACCTCACAGGCACTGGGTAAAATTTGCATGGAATTGTTTTCGTCACTGGTAGATAGTGCCAGTGTTATATACAGGGTGTCTGAAAAGTCACTCCCTATTTTTAAATTGTTATTGCTCCTAAACCAAAGGAGATATTACAACATTTCTTTAACTGAATTGAAGCTTATTTTTTACCATTTACTTTATAACAAAATTGAAAAGCTTTATTACAAAGTTAAAATTCAACGTAGGCTCCAGCATTGTCCTCGCACTTCTGTAACCTTACTGGTACATTTTCAACAGATTTTCTCAAGAAGTCACCTGGTGCATTGCCTAGAATATCACAAATTTTGTTTTCAAGTTCATCAATGGTCCTTGGTTTTGGTTTTTGAACTAATTTTTTCGCCCAGCTCCACAGAAAGAAGTTGCACGGCGTTAAATCTGGACTTTGAGCAGGCCATTCCATTGGTCTTCGACGACCTATTAAGTTAAGTTGCTCGTTCTTCTATGCTTAATTTTTCAGCCATTATTCACTTATAATAGAAATGGTAATGATTAAGCTTAAAACAGTGAAAGAACGGTTACAATATCTCCTTCAGTTTAGGAGCAATAGCAATTTAAAAAGAGGGAGTGACTTTTCAGACACCCTGTAGTGGGAAGAAGCCTTCCCAGAGCAATAGGAGGGTGAAAAGTTGGCTGGGAAGAATTCTTCCCAGTGCCCACGAAAGGGTAATCAGTAATGCATATAATATGATTTGAATACATTCTTGACCTTATTGATAAGATTCACAAAAGCATATTACTTTGCATCACAGTTATTCATTCAATAGTAGAATAAGAGGTCAGGTAGCTTTACAATTTGCATTTAAATGTATTGGTGCATTCAAGCTGACATGGACATGAGGGGAACACTTCAGGGCTTTGCTGTTTTTAGGCAAGTAGAGTGAATGAGAAATGAAAAAATTGTCATTATTCCAAGGGCTGGGAGGCCCAATGGGAAGATGCTTGTTCTGGTAGTGTAAGGATATTATATTTATTGGTACCCATTTTTGTTGGCACGAGATACAAGAAAGCAAAGTGGGAGATTCAGAACCCTTTGCTGTCTTCCCAGGTGCTCCTTCAGGGACTCAAATAGATAGAAATCACTCAGAGCTAAGTCAGGGCTGTAGGGTATGTTTGGGAAAGACTCCCAGCATAGGCTGGCCAGTTTTGCCACTGTTTCATGGGCCATGTGTGATCCAGTGTTGTCTTGCAGAAAGAGCACTCCAAGAAAGAGTAGGCCAGAATGTTTTTTTGCGAATGGCTATTAGGTTGATACAACTTTCCAGCATTTTATAGGAAAATGCTTGACTGTCAATTTATGGGCAAAATATGTGTAAAAAGCTCATCTGTTGAAGTGTTAACATGAATCTTTCATAGAAATGTATGAGATTATTGATTATCCTTGAAGTGCAGTCCCACATATCTTCAACATAATATGTTTAATCCAGAATTCTTCATGTCAACTCATACCAACATATATTGACAGCTTAACATGAAAATTATTGATTTATTTAATACTAGGTGATGTAACTATAATTTTTGGACCCTAAAACAACCAGAATGCAAGCCCATTTTATACCCCACTTGATGGCAGACATTGCTACTATTGTTGCATAACAATAAGCTGCAAATCTCACCAGTCACATATCTACTGAATAACCCTATTTCCAAAATGGAATATACTCATCAAAGTTGAAGTTATATTGCAATCAAATGGGGTTTGGAAACAGAATTTCCCAGTGCACATGAAAGGCTTAAATGTCTGGAAAAAGAGAGGCAGTCACCTAACTTGCATATGGTAGTAGGCCTATGGTTCCATGTCAATTGTAAAATGGCATGTCAGTGGTATAACTGATCAGGAGTTGTCCAACTTGGACCTCATTCTCACATGAAAGCATACTTCAACTATGGTGAATGTTGGCTTCATGCTTGATTTGATAAGTAGTGTGGGTATAATTGCAGGTACTCAGAGGTGTTGTTACGTCGTGTGAGTGCTGGGCACATTGTCTACTCCCCTGCACAGAAGGCTTTTGTGAGCACCAGCAATGAAGGAGCTTTCCCTTTCAATGCAGAGGAGTTCTCTGATGTCACAGAGCTGAGAGCCCTAGCTGAGCTCATTGGACCCTATGGGATGAAGTCTCTTTGTGAAACTCTGATGTTCCACATAGCTGGCCAGATTCAAGAACTGAAGGTTGGGAGTCTGACTCTCTTATAACTGCTTATATATAAAACTTAATGCAATTGTGCATGTGAATCAATTTTGTTGCATCTTCCTGGAGTCAGTGTTATTGATAGGGGAAAAGGTAATTGGTTATAATACAGAGCAGAGAGAGAGAGAGAGAGAAAACTCAATGAGAAAAGAACATAGGAGTGTCAAGATGAAATTGTGTGCTGATAGACACCATGGAAACCAACATTATACTTTAAAAAAAAACAAGGAATAGTAATAGGTTTGGCCTTGGTGCAAACAGATTAAACTGTCAGAGAAAATAGGACAATAACAATGGCACTGCTTATTTGCTCACGTGTCTCAGAAGAGGAAGGCAACTTTAGGCTGGCTGCACATTGGTGAAATATTCTTGCAAAGCAACACAATGAAGTGTGTTCAAACACACTTCATTGCATGAATGAATAAAACAAGTTGAAGCATGCCTCAATAGTATACAGCACTCCACTATTTGCAGTGTGTTCCTTCCAATGAAGCATGTATATTTTCCCTTCTCAATAATTTCCAGTATGTTGCCTGGCTTATTGGTATCTATATTTTCCCTTCATACTTAGGGTATGATCAAGTAATACTGGAACTGACTTAATTACAGTACATAAATAGCCTTACCTTTGCAGACTATTGCACTCTTCATCATTGGGAAAAAGGGAAAAGTTACACAGAGCAAGGTCTGGTAAGTAGGATGGATGATCCCTGATTAAAAGTGCATTTTGGACTAAAAATCAACAAAGCTGCTTGAGTTAGTATATCATGTTGCAAGACCTATTTCTTTCAATGCCCATTTGTCAGGGCAATGCCTGTGGTAATATCTTCCAGATACTTCATAGCAGAAATTTATGTTTTTTTTTCACTCCCTCTTGAGTAGGAATGAATTCATGATATGTCAGCCATGGAAAAAAGTTTTTAAAAAGTGATGAGCAGCTCCTGACTTCTGCATGTATGTTTTTTTTCAACCTGGGTGAGGACCATATTTTCCATTGAGAACTTGACCATTTTTTTGTGAGGTTTTAATCATCCTTAGCAGTTGAAGTAAGAACACTGGCCACATTTAATGCTCCTGCTCAGCTGTGAGGAATTGCAAGGAACTGCAGACATGCATCATTTACCCATATCCTATATGCCTATATGATTATAACCTGACAACTTCCATAAGAAGTTCAATAATGCAGCTGCACAGACTGTTACACACCTGTCAGCTTTTACTTAGTTGCAATCATGGGTAGCACTGTCCTCATTGCAACTGGTCTATGGTTTTCCTGGATATTATAAGTAATCTTTCTCCTATTTTTGCCATCATAAAACCAACTGAATCACTAAAAAAGGTTTAAATACTGGGTGTCTCAAAATATAGGGGTAACACTAATGCTCATTTTGAGCTTAGAATGAGCCAATTAAGCTGAAAGTTGGCAGACTCATGAATAGAACTTAAAAGTTCTTTTGGTTTACTTTTTATGTTATTAGGTTTAGCCCAACAACAGCAACAAGTGTTTCATCCCAGAAGTTTTTTTTTCCAACAATGAAAGTTTTTTTGGTTCTGCTTGTGAGATGTTAGATGAAGACACTCGAAAGATTATTGTGACTAATTATCTCATCCTTTGGTCATCTCCTGTAAAAAATATTGAGAGCTTTACGTCATCAGCCCAATCTCCAACTTTTCAATCCATGCAAATTGTATCAAGTTTGGGAATATTTTGGAGAAAAAAACGTAGACCCTTGGACACACCTGAATAATACTGTAAATCAAGTTGCCCCTTCCTTTCCCTGATGTGGGTATCCTGGAACAAGCTACTGTTGCCTGCCAGAACATTCAACAAGGTCAAAACTTCCAAAATGCATTCAGGAGAGTGTTTTCCACCATCCAAGAACAGTTGTGTGAGTTTGTAACCCTCCATGAGTGGCATGTTGAAGCTTATCAGCTTTAATCTCATTTTGAAAAAAATTGCTTTGATCAAAACTGAATTTTGTTTTTCACAACCTTCATTGCTCTTTTCTCCAAAAATTTCACAAAAGAAAATATGCTACATTAAACTTGCATGAAAGTTTTATCTGTGTTCACCAATTTTCAGCTTAATTGGTCAATTCTAAGGAGCCCAAAATGAACATCAGTTTTATCCATATATTTTGGAGAACACCCAGTATGATAATGCTAGGTCCTCATATGTTGGCATTATTATTTCATGCCTTTCTATGGCTTTCTTTCCAGGTTAGATGCAAAGTCTCTTTTACATGTTCAAACTCTTTTTTTTATTGTAATTTGATGCATTGCTGGAATAAGCCACTGACATTTTTGTGCTACTCCACACCCTTACTCAAATTAGGATAATTTGCCATTTTCTATGTGTTACCAAGTGGTCTGCTGAAGGGGTATAAAAAGTGACATGAATGCTGTGATGAATTTTCTAGATTCTAAGGAGTGAATCTCCCAGCAGATCTTTCATAGAAGTATCAGTAAGACTCTGTCCTCTTAGTAGTTGCTAAAGTTTTTTTTTTTTTTTACCAACGAATGCACTCTTGATACACTTCTCACCATGTTAGAAGTTTCACCTTTGAGGATGTAACATAAATAAAAATATTAAGACTGTATAAATGGTAGCATTTGGCTGATGACCAGTTATGAACCTGAATGTTTCAGCCAGTGCTGGAGCAGCTCTTCATTGTTATCTACTCTTCTCACAACAGCTCATGATACAGAATGTCACATTTATTATACAGAATCTCCATATCTCACCTCCAGCAAAGAAAATTTCTGCTTCAGCTTATACGAAGTTCAGTCTTTAGTTGTCTGTTAAAAACTCAGAATGAAATTATTATTAACCACTTTAGTAGTAAATAAATAGCATAACACCACATCCTGCAGTGGTAAATGCAAAGCTTTGTCCTATGAATGACAGGGTGCCAGTGACACTGCAAGATTAAAATAATTTTTCATTTTCTGAACTTGTAACAGGTGGGTCTCAAATTTTTTATGCCAACATAGTTCTTTATTGGCATGATTCTCTGTTGATGTATACCCAAATTTAAGTTGTCTGTAATGTTCTCTGTTTACTTTCTTTTGTCCTTTAAGTTGAGATTTTGTCAATGTCCTACATGTGGCACATCTCTATATTGTGCACCTGGTATTATTCTATGTCCACTCAATTCATTGTCCACACAAACCTGGCTAAACTACCAACTCATATGTATGGATTCCATTGGTCTGAAACAGAGGAATGTTTTGGATAACAAAGAGGCCCTGTTGCATCTGCGCACACACTTTGACAAACCAGAGGAGATGAAGGAGTACAGCAAAAAGCTTACAGGTGAGAGTTTGTTCCCTGAGTCCATTTGAGCTCATGTCCTTCTGAGTCAAAAGTATCTTTCTTGCATGAATAATTTGTGGACACCAGCAGAAAGAGCTTGTGACTCCATGATTAATAGATGAACTCTGGAGATGGATGGCACAGTCTTTCTACTTGTGTATTTCTCTACTTTACAGTGAATTCAGATTGAAACTATATACAAGGTGTCCACAAATTATGATGCACTTTCATTATAGCATGAAATTTGAATGAAGAGTTTTACAACAATAAAATTCCAGAAAATTATAGAGGGACTCTGAAAGTTTTGTTTAGTTGCCAGTCCAATATTAGTTCTCCCAGCTTCCAGCAGATGGCCTTCCATGCTAAAAATTGTGACCCCACAGAAAAAGGCACAGTGCATCTTATGGTGTGAAGCTACCAGAAGTGCTACTAGTATGAAAAGGCGATTCAGAAAAAAGTTTGGGAAGAAGTATCCAACACAGAAAGGTGCATAAGAGGTTTCTCGAGACCAAAATTTTTATTTATAACCCTGGATAGGTCAAGTGCCAACAAAGAGACTGTGGAACGAGTTTGCTACGCCTTTGTCCAAAGAAGGCAAGAAATAAACTGCTGGTGCCAAAATTGACTCTCTACTAAATTTTGGAGAAATGTTTGTGGCTTCAATACAAGTTGACTCTCTTGCATGAGATTGTCATATGACAAACTGAAATGCTGTCACTTCTGCAGGGAGATGCTAAGACGCATGGGAAATGATGAAATCTTGCTCAGTCATGTAGCCTTTGGTGACTAGGCAACATTTCATCTTTTTGTCAAGGTGAACTGTCACAATGTTTGAATCTGGGCTGAACAAATTCCATGCAGTCATAGAGTTTGTTTGAGACAGTCAGAAAGTAAACATTTGGAGTCTTTCTTGACACTTGACCTACCAGCTCTAGATTTGTGACAGAAACATCTAGTCTTGAAAAATCTCTTATGCCAACTGTAAATTACTTTTCATGTTAGATACTTCTTCCCAAACTTTGTTCTGAATCACCTTTCCATACTAGTGGCACTTAAGGTAGCTTCATACCATAAGATGCACTGTGCCTTTTTCTCTGGTGTCACCATTTTTAGTATGGAAGTCCATCTGCAGAAGCTGGAAAAGCTAAATATTAGGGGTGGCAACTAAACAAAACTTTCCAAGTCCCTCTATTATATTCTAGAATGTTATTGTCCTGAAACTCCTCATTCAGATTTTATGCTATAATGAACATATATCCATAATTTGTGGACACCCAGTATATCACGGATACAATCAATGCATGAGTTGAACTTTGAAATTTGATTTTCTGCTGTTCAAGCTCAATTCCTAGATGTTTAATATGAGGCTGAAATCATAAGGAGTCAATCTGAATTCACTGTCTATTGATTATCTTATTTCAGAGGTGGACAGTGTGATGAAGCGGATGACTATCATTGGAGTGATCCTGGGATTTCGTAGACTGGTCCAAGAGGCCCTGGAGGATGTCCTATTTGATCGCATCCCATTTCTCATGTCCTCCATTTTGGACTTTCGCCTGGACCCCACATCTCAACCAGATTCCCTGGTAAGTTTCCATTACTGTCTGCCCAGGTGTTGTCACTTCGCTTTGCCCATGCTTCAACATTTTTTGTGGCTCTTGCTTGGCTTGCTTGCTTCTTTCTTTCTGGTTTGTTTTTTTCTTTCCTTCAGATGGGGAACATCAAGCTCCAGGTTAGTGGCCCTTCCTTCATTTTACTCCTCAGTTTCCGTTTGCATTCTGTTAATTTTCTGATATAGTCTGGTAGCTTGGATGATGAGTAGAGGGCATATGTAGATTTTTTATCACCAAAAAACTGCCTATGTATGTGACAAAATATGACCTCCCATCAGTATGCCCAAAAGAAAGCTAAGTATTACCAAAATGTAAGACTAAAAAAAAAGGGAATTAACCCCTTTTCCTACCAAGCCTAAGAGAAAGTCTATGCATCAATTCCCAAACTAGTTACAAATTGCAGAGTATTATTTGAAAAATCATTATAAATCCAATTAAACTAATTGGACATTAGCTATTAGCACATAGAACCTGTGCAGACAGATTTTTAGTGGAATAGGAAACTGCTGATATAATGGCACCTTGGGATTCTAAGGGTTAAAGATGGTGCTTAGACTGCTGAACTGCTGAGAAAAGAGAAGTAACCTTTGTCAGACTAATCCCCCAAAAAGCAGGTGGCACAGGTAAACACTATGGGACGAGTGAACAATATCACGTACACTGCCTGTGACAATGTGAGTATTCACCAAACCACATTCAAAACAAATAGAATCCAGACTTCTACTTAGGCTTCTGTTATTATCTTGCTTCATTCATCCAGGAACTGCACTCAACTGAATAAGCCATTCAATAGGTCGCTGAGGGATAAAGTCCACCTTTTAAAGGTTAGACATTTTTTAGAAAATTCACTTGATAACCATTGCTAAGTAGCCTCAGTGTAAGAGCTCACTGTTACAGTAGATCCAGCCATATTGGAAAAAATCAAGAATATTTTTAAATGAGAAATAACATTCTTGATAAAGTACAAGGAATCTTACGAAGAAATTCATTATCAAACTTTTGTTAATCAAAAATATCAGTAATGAAGCTATTTCTGGTGTCAATTGCCACATATTTGTCTTGGTGATGAGCATACTTACTTGGAGGTGAACCTGTTACTAAACAGAAACATTTTAACTTCCTTAAGGCAGCACGCCACCAGCATAAATCAAGTTAAAAAGATATGTTTTTTCTCAATATTCTATCTTGTTCATAGCTTTACTCCCAATAAATGATAATTTGTATGCAAAAGTTGAAAAATTGCACTCTAATCAGCTTAATTACTCTTAGTGGTCTAGGTGGTTGTTCAGTCCTCCTTGGCAATGGGTTTAGACCTTGGATATGCATGGTTTAGTTCAATATTTTCATGAAAAATCAGTGCCAATATATTCAAAATAACCTATAGCGCCATCCAATATCAGCCAATCACAGGCCTTGCTTCACGCTTGCCCGGCGCAGCACACTTTCCACCAGCACACGTGACTGACTTCACCTCCATTCTCAATCAACTTTCATCAACATTTCTATTCATCATCTGAATTCACATCTGTGAAAATTGGTAGTTTAAACATATGATTTGTGAGATATCCACGATGGATAAAAAGATAATGGATTCCAGGATAATAATAAAAAGGAGCAGAAGGAGAATAATGTTTATGAGAAAGGGGCACACTAATGATTTATTTCACATACTCTGTCTATATTTCTGACTTTAATTCATTTATCTATGTATTCTCAGGATTTTGTTTTAGAGCCATCAGACTTTGAATCGCCATATCCCTATTTTTGAAGATATCCAGTTAATATTTGGCAGAGATAATCCTGATTGAATTATTATGGTAGTTTTCATTAGGGATGAAGTCATAAAATGACGTTTTTTGATGATAATGTTTAAAAAAAATTCCTAAAATTTTATTTTTTAACATTTTGAGTTTTTTTTCCCACAAACCAATTATTTTGTGTCATTTAACTAATCTGTGGATTTGATAAAAATCCTATGACTGGTTCCCAAGATATCTTGCTTTGAAAAATACTCATCTGGTTTTTGGCAGTAATATTGATGACTAAATTGCATAATTTATTTTTATTTTATTTTCTAATACATCACATATACTTTATCTTGGTATATTTGTGTCATTGACACCCTGTAAGGCCTCAGAAGTCATTTTGCTGGTGGTATGCTACCTTAAGCTTTACCCCAAGTCTGCAAGCTTTTTTGCAGTAATTTGGTTGATAGACTTGGGTTGTTTTTTTCAAGCAATGAAGCGCTAGAGGTAAAGGATAGGGTATGATTGGAAGGCTGTCAGGTGACTATACCCACAGCACAAGTCCATCTCACAACCACCTTGTACCCTCTATGAGCTAGAGAAGGCACATGCTCATGCTGCAAGAAGGCAACCCATGCAAGATATATTATGGAAGTGGATACAATGATGCTCAGGAAAGCAGCCAACCCGCAACCAAAAGCCATGGAGAAATTGAGCTTTTGTGGGATGTGTGCCTGAGAGTTATTCCCACAATCCTTGGTTCAATAAGAAATAAGTGGAGAAAGTTCCACATAACTGGGGGAATTCACTGAAAAATTTGGTAAACAATATGTTGCAATCCAAGCCTATGGACTTAAAGCAAAATTGACTGTATCAACTCCCTTGATAAAGAGAAGAGAAAATTGGGAAAAGATGGAAAGGGAGGAAGCTTTACAAGACAAGGCGAATGGCCTATGCTCATTTTCTGAAATTCTGGCCTAGGCCAGGGGCTAACCCTGGCCTATGACTCAGAGACAAGCCTAAGCTCTACAGATTAACAGCAGTTTATCCAGCGACAAAGCTTATTTGAAAACAAAAGGATCATTGCCTAACAAGCCACCAGATCCATAGGACTCCTTTCCTTCTTTGTTCACTGTTTCAAATTTCAATATCCTTCCTTTTTGGCATCATGTTGTTTGGTTGACATTGAGAAGAATCACATCTTACTAATCATTAAGAGTCAGTTCTAACATTTGTGATTGTTCAGTTTATTGCAGACAGCATCATTTTATATTCTGTATTCATTTGATTCTAAGAGTACTACTTTTCTTTTTTTCAATGCTAAAATATTGAGGGTTGTCTTAGAAATCAGCTGCAAAATATACTGTCAACTGAAAGTTACTGGATGCACTGATGAAATGACACCAGTGATTGGCTGCAACAGTTGAAATTTAAGCATAAAAAAAAGAGTAATAAATATAAACGAAATAAAATTGGTGTGTGTGTGTGTGTGTATGTATAATGTATATATATACAGGGTATGTCCGGAAAGTAATGCAATTTTTTTTGGGCGGGTAGTAAAAATGGCCACACAGCGTTCCGGCCGGTTGGATTAGGTGGGGGGGCTTTCAGCTTTAAAGCGATGCCTGCACCAGTCTGCTCCGAGCAGTTGGAGCTCCAGGATCGCTGTTCCCGTGCATCCCTGTTTAGTACGTGTGTCACGAANGCACAAACCTTTCTCATGTTCAATTTTTCGGTCACCAGTTCGTGCACAATTGTTTTGGGAATGTTGAGGTTGTCTGCAATCATCCGAACACTTAACCGACGGTCAGAATTCAGCTCAGCACGCACACGGGCCACATTGTCGTCGGTTGTGCTGGTTGACGGCCGTCCACTGCGGGGTTCATCGGAAACCTCTTCCCGACCATCCTTGAACGCTTTCAACCACCTCGAAACTTGCGAATACGAAAGAGCATTGTCCCCGTAAGCTTGCTTAATCATTTGGTAAGTCTCCGCAAGAGATTTGTTCAATAGTGAACAAAACTTTATCGAGTAACGTTGCTCGAGTGACGATTCCATCGCGTTTCGTGACACACGTACTAAACAGGGATGCACGGGAACAGCGATCCTGGAGCTCCAACTGCTCGGAGCAGACTGTGCAGGTATCGCTTTAAAGCTGAAAGCCCCCCCACCTAAACCAACCGGCCGAAACGCTGTGCGGCCATTTTTACTACCCGCCCAAAAAAAATTGCATTACTTTCCGGACATACCCTGTATATATATAAATAAATATAAATAATAATAAATATGTAAAAAAATATATATATATATACAGGTTTATATATATACAGGTTGATCCAACAAGAGGTACCCCACTGGTTTCTTATGGGAGGAATATAATACACTAAAAATGTTTAATATCCATATTTTATTTTGTTTTTATGTGAAATACTGATGTGGTGGCTCCCTATCTAACACTACAAGCCAAGTGTTCTATTTGACTGATGTACTTTTGCATTGTTAGTTATCATTACACACACACATGCATGCATACAAATGACTTTGAGAGGTGTAAAGCATTTTTTCACTAACGCATAGTATTATGTCAAGTGTACGTGTTTCACTAAGAAACACTTCTGAGTCCAGCATCTAATCATGAGAGATGTGGGGTGTTGCAGCCTATTTCAGTTGTGTCACATCTTTGAATAAGCAGATGATGAGTGAGATGTCAGCAGCTTCAGGTCTGCAGTGCAAGGTAGACCCTGTTCTTGTCTCTGCCCTTCGATCCCAGAAGCCTTCAGGTCCACTTACGTCTCCTCTATTTCTTATTTTTTGTGTTTTCAAGAGGACCACAAAGGTTGACTTTTCCTTTTTGGTCAATGCAGAGACAAGTGCAGGAGGAGGAGAATTGGATGATTATCTAGTCTCATGCCTGCTGATGGTGTTTGTGGCAGTAAGCATCCCAAGATTAGCTCGATGGGAGACATCAATGTATCGCCCCCAGCTAGAAGCCCATGGGAATAATGTACATTGTTTGGCCTTGGCTGTCAATGAAGTCTTCCCTGCTCTTTTCACTCTCCATGGTCATGGAGACATAGAGGACCGGCTTAAGGAATTCCTTGCTGTATGCTCCTTTCTTTCTATTTCTCATTGCTGTCATTACTTCTCCACTATAGAAGATGGCAATTTTGTTGGTTCAGCTGGCATCTTCAAGTCTGCTGCGGCTTGGACAAGACCCAGAGAAGGAGTCAGCCAAGCACCGAGAATCCATCTATCTTCTCCTGGACCTAGTAGTGAAGGAATCTTCATTCCTTTCCATGGACCTCCTAGAGTCATGCTTCCCGTACCCTCTCATCCGCACAGCTTACAATGCTGTCTATCGACAACATGGACCTAATTCTCTTCTTCCCATCCCCTCATAATTTCTTTATTTGGAGACTTACAAAATAAAAGGCAACCATAACTTTCTGACCCTTTGTACTGTGTCCTCTGAAGGGAGAAGAATGGATAAGAAAGGAAAGTTTGAGGCAGGGTAGAGTGGGAAGCCTCTCTCACCTTTCCGACTTGGATGCTCATGTCATCTGTGCAAAGTTGTATCCAAGGTTCATGAGACTAAAATGGGTGTTTACTTCCATGTCAGTATCCATGACAGGGATGGAAGCTCCAACAAAGCAGGCTGTGCTTGCCCTCTACAAGTCCCTTTTGAGGGAAGGTCGTCGTTTCTCAGCCTACAATTACAGGTCTTTTTGTCTTACTCTTCCCTATTTCCTGTGAAACTTTATCATCTTGTACTCTTCTCTCACTCATCATCCTAGTCGTTCGCTCTGGTCTTTATACTTGGCAGGAAGTATGCTTGGAGGAAAGTGAGGGATGAGTTTCGGGTCAACAAGGACTTGACAGACCCAAATGCAATTAGGAATAGATATGCGCTTGGAGTGAAAAATCTGGAGATCCTCAGGAGGCAGGTCAGACATTCGTGCTCCAACCCCTATTAACAAAGCAATCCAACTTTGAAATGAAAGTATTTCTGGGACATATCTCTCTCGGGCTGGGGGGAAATTCACAGGTGGTGCTAGGAGAGCTTTATGCTGCTCCTCATTTGGTCATCGAGAAGGAACCAATTCATGAGTGATGGGTTGTAGTCTCCCATGTCTGTTCTCCATACTACTCCTAATAAAAGAGGTTTTCTCTTTTGTTATGAGAGGATTGATGAGAGAATAGGAGGAAGGAATTATTTTTGGCCAGAAACACAGCCACAAGGAAGGCTGAACCATGGAATGAATTTCCTTGGCATGGACATAATCTCGTTGCGTATTTTTGTATTCTATCCGTTTTAGAGAAATCAGAACTTCAGAATGCATCTTTTTTTTAATGGCTCTTGGTTCATTCTAGTGCATAGGAAAAAATGTACAGACTTAATCATAAAAAAAGATGGGGCCACAAATAATAACTCTGGCATTCATTTACTCTAATTTGCCTCAGAACTTCTGAAGTGGAGCTGGTTACTACAAATATACATGGACTTATCTGGGATGTCTTCAAACATAAGGTTTGGTCAAAACCTTAAGAACAAGAGAAAAATTATGTACTTTTTAAAATAGGTACTCAATTCAAGTATTTAATTTTAGTCAATGAATAATTTTTCTGACAGTTTTTCCTTTCTGAATTTCATTAATTGTGCTGTATACAGGGCATCTCAAGAGTTGAGAGAGTCAAAAGGATTATACTGTTAAAGTTGTTTTTTAGTGGGCCTCCTTTCCTGAAAGGAAAGAGACCACTTATAGTCCTGTCCTGTCCTGTCCATCTGTGTGTCACACTTTGGTTGTCTGATGATAACTAAAAAAATATTGGCCTAATCAATGCAAAAATTGGCAAGCAAATAGATATGAACAAGATACAGGCTGAGTTTGTTTTGTGATGAATTTGCACAAAATTGGCATTTTTATTGCAAATTTTGGATTTGAAATTCAGTCCCAGAGGGGAAGACCTGAGCACCTGTGAGCCCTTCAGGTTCTGGACCGTAGTGCACGTGTGTATGACCCCGGCTTTGGACACGGCACTGTCAGCAACTAGAGCTGTCAGTTCCCTCCCAACCTTTGTGGTGGATGAATCCAACCATGCACAGCCCTCCATCCTCCCATCACCATTTCACGGGCACCGTTTGTCTATGTTTACTAAATATAAATGAGAGTTTCCTTAACTGAAAGGAGGCCCACTACTGGACTGGGCTTGCCCAGCTTGTTTTTATGCTAAGACTGTTTGGAACCCATCTGCCTACCTGTTGGGATATCATAATGCCAATGTCTTCTCCACTGCCACACAAGGATGTCCAGCATTTATGTTAGGTGAACATTGCATGAACTTGATATGCATTCATGGCTGGAAGGTATAGTGAAATATTCTCAAAGTTTCAACAGGCTGTGTTGAAACACAGGGATGTGTTAGAGCAGGGGTGTGCAACCTTTACCGGCAGTGGGCCGCATGGAAATGCCTGACTCATCATGTCCCACATGAAAATTCCATGTATGACAGGGTGTATGATTCTATATGGTCATGTATGATCATATATTTGCCATATACCACCATATATGTATTCATATACAGTATTAACAATTGTATGGTGCATAATATATTTTACCTGCATTGCAATATTAAGTGTGATGGGAAAATGGCATCATGTCTGATATGTGGTGAATATCCATAGACAAGTCTTATGGTTGTAAGTAAAACATGGCATGAGGTCAGTGGTGTATTTTGGCTGAAGAGTCAGGGGGGACAGGGCAGCAGAGTGGGGGCACCAAACCCTGTCCCTGGGATGCCGAGGAGGAGGGCACCCCCCTCCCCCCTTCCTGGAAAATATGCCACTGCATGAGGTTGTTACACATGAGGGCAATTGACCTTCAGATGTCCCTGTAACTAATTTTTAATGCACCCATTATATTTTACATGAAATATTAGCTATGTTTAACCTTTAAAGTAATTTGCCAAAAGTTTGATTTTGAACCCCCAGCTGAAAGTCCCAGTTGGAAACAGCTAAATTTCCAGCTGGACCCCAGTTGGAAATTCAGACCCATTACTTTCCCATACTTTCCAGCTGGGAAGCAGCTGGAAAGTAAAGTCAGATCCAGTTTGTTCCTAATTGCAATACATTGGTGTAATGAGAATGTTTTTGTTGGCTATTCTTGCTGGAGGTCCATCTATAGAAGCAGCTGAATTTCAACTGCAAATTCAGCTGTATTCCAACTGAAGGGTCCTCTGAATAAAATTCTAACAGTAAATTTCCAGCTGTAAAACAACCTGTAATTACCATTTTTCAGCTCTTCGTCAGCTGGAAATGGTCAGAATATACAGCTTCTGTCCACCTGGAAATTTCCAGTCAAGGTTTCAAACTGGGCCCTACCCTCTCTAGGTAACATAAGCGTATCGAGGATGAAAAAAGTGCGGGAGGAGGGGGGGCACAAGAACTCTGGAACACTGTTATGCATTTCATGGATCTTTTTCTTTGTACTAATGTGTTTTTGTTGTTAAGTGGGGGGCACATGTCGTGCCATGCCTTCATTGAACAATTCCATCATTGGATTATTTCAGGAAGAAATAGGTTTTTTTCCATTAACTTGCGAGTTGTCATTCAAGATGAAGACGACACTCCTACATGAATAAGCCAAGTTTTGTCATGAAATAGCATTACTGATGAAAATACTTGTGAAGGTTCAAGTCTATAATATTGAAACTTTCACCTTCATTAACAAGGGTGCATATGTTGAACACCATGGAACATGAGTTCTTGGAGTAATTGACTGTGGTCTATGAACAATTAAAAATGAGTTGATTGCAAGTAAGGTATGGTGACTTGCATATGAATGAGCATACAGTATTTGATGGATTATGGATCCTTTTTGGATACAGGCATGTTTCAGGTAATCTCACCATACATAGATATGACATGGCATATATGGACAGTATATGGTGCATTTATATGAGCCAATATATGAAAATGTATGGGGTAATATATTTACCTTCTTATATGATTTTATGTGACTTGTGTCAAACCCCATACATGTTTCACATGTGTTCATATATGAATTGCAGTATATGGTCTTTTATGAAATTTTCATGTGGGGTGGGCCATAGAATTCAAGAGAAAAGGCTTCCCTCTTTTGCCCTCAGGGCGTATGAGGGCATAAGGTCATGCTAATTGGCCAATGATGCTTGCCCCAGCCCCTTCCCTTGGAAATTCCAATGCCCAAAATTAGCCTTTAGAATTGAGACCCTTCTTCCTGGAGACATATGTGGAGCCCCCAGGTGAGGAATAAGTAGGGGAAGGAAGTGAAAGGACTCAGTCTATCTCTTGTTTAGTTACTAAGGGATGACCAAAGTTGTGATGGGCCTTGGGCTGCAAAGAAACTTATTTTATTTGTTATCCCATTATGCATCACCAGGCTGCAAGAAGCAGGTCCACGGGCCACATGCAGGCCGTGGGTTGCACATTTCTGTGTTAGAGCATTTCCATAGGTCAACAGCAAAAACTGTTTTACTGTTTGTCTTTTGATCTATTGCCTAATTTTTGTGGATTTTTCAAAAGGAGGGACTAGTCAAGGTAGTGTATACCATGGACATCATTCTTATCCTAAGTATATAAAAAAATGTTGAGAACTCTGGGTTAATCCATGAGGAGAAGGAATGGTTTCTTTGCTTATAGAGCCATAGTGTCCCATTAAAAGGAAAATTTTTCACTGGCAACATTTCCAGAGGCCACACAAACTAACTTTATGTTGTCAAGTTAAAACCTATAATTTTCCCATTTATGAGTGCTATGTCAGAACAGAATTTAAATATGGCATTCGTGCCAACAATATTTCGCCCAACAGTGCATTAATTCATGAAAATGTGTGGTTTCACCACAAAACCCCAGGCCCCTTGCAAAGAAAGTTAACATTAAGCAAAGCAGTTTTAGATAAATCAGTACTGACATTGTGCATATATGTCAAAAGTTGATGCGTAAATATCAGCTTTTTTGGTCAGCCAAATATGTTATTGGCATAAAAAGAAAGATTCACAGCACCAGTCAGATTCATTGGGTACATTCAGTTGTGACCCATGCTGTGACTCGAGGTTCATGGTTTTCAACAGGGTCTGGGTTTATCAAAAGCCAATTATACCCAGATAGATGACATTGACAGGAAGTGTCACTCTGAAGGGAGAAGCCTTTGGAAGGCCCAATGCAGTTGTTGAACTGTGACTCTTGAGTCATGATTGTGGTCACAACTGAATGTACCCACTAGTGTTATGACTAGCCTGGCTGCCTCTTTAAACTCTTGCAACCATGCAATGTTGCCAATCGTCTGGTATCAAACATTAGCTCAAGTTTTATTATAATATTCACCTGTACACCTGTGACAATATGTGGTAACATAACATAATGCAAAGCTTTAAGAACGCAGCAAAAGATTAGCTGAAAATTATTGTTTGTCCACATGTGGACACAGAGCCTCAAAAGGGTTATGGGAATTTCTGAAACCTGTGAAGATACCAATGAAACATTCCAGAACCATCATTAGGAGCCCAAAAGGAATGTGACAGTAGAATTAGATCAAAATCTGAAGACTCATTTTTTTTACCCTTCGATTCGACCTACCCCATGAAAAAAACTTCAGTTTCTGCATACAAAATATGCACCGTTCACCGTTTCACTAAGCTGGCATCGAGAAACCAGTAGGAGTCCTACGACTGATGAACACTTGAAGGTTAGATATTGATTGTGGTGAGGTTAACAGGACCAAGTGTACGAAGGAAATACTTAAATTTTAATCCGAAGTCACAATCGATCCTGAAAGCACTCGATACGAATATTGAGCATGCGACTGGCGTTCTCCATGGATGGTCCATGCACTCACCCGCACTGAATTCGGGACGGTAGCGACGCGACAGCTGTTTCCGAAAACTGCTGGAGGTGGTTTTCCGTCACTTCGAAACATTTCCCGCATGGTTTCAGCCCCGGTTCCCTCTTGGCCTTGGGTATCAACGGTAGACACGGGGTCCCGGATGGGATGTAATGCCTGGGTTCCGTATAAAAATTTCAGGCGTTCAGCTTCATTTACCTCAAGTTTCCATTTGGCAGAATGACAAAAAATGTTGCGATTCCGGCGTTGATATTCGCATCGAGAATAGCTAACGTTGCAATTTCCGAGGGTTTTTTTCGCTTTTTGTTGCCCTTGTTACATTCCTGTGCCGGATTGTGGTTTGGATTCTGAGGATGTCTCTTTTCTGGAGATGTAGGTATATGGTTATAAGTTTGACCCTTCTTGATCAATCTCTATTCCTCATGCATAATTTGCCTCTTTTGCTTTGCTGTTTTTTTTTTTACCCTCTCGCAACCCATCTGTTAGAGCAAGGCGACCCACGGCGTCAATATAGGTCACACTGGGCCATTTGGATCATATTTTGTGGCTAAGGTAACTCGTTAATGTTTATTAACATTACAGTATCCCATCAGCTAGGAAGATGGGTTCCAAATAATCTCAGCAAGAAATGCTTCATGCACTATCATCCTATGATTCCTGACTTGTGAGTCAGGAATCATAGGATTCTTGTGAGTACATCGCTCGTCTCGCGTCCTCTCTTCGGGAGTTTGTAGTACACTTGCTTATATCCGTGTGACGCTTCATTTTGGTGTTGCACCGTAACAAGAACTGTTATTGAAAGCCATTTTTATTTCTAAAGACTGGCATATTACCTGCGCCCATCGAATCGGCACCGCATGGCTGATACGTGCACGTTCACGACGTTCTTATAACTTCTTGAAGGCCTTTTCTACTAGTAAGCTCGGCTTGAAACATTGAAACGGAAACGGACGAGTGGCGACCGTATGTTGTTCGGCTGGGAAAGGTGCGAAGACTTGGGCCTGATCTCGCCGAGAATGACGCGATGACGAAGGCGGGATTCGGACAACGCGAGTCCCCCGGCTCCGCGCTCGACCGTATTCATGAATCTCGTTGCCGATGGTGATGCAGGTGGCGACGATGACGACGACGATGATGACGATGACGAGATTGAGAGGACGTTGGAAGGGAATCCCGTCGATGCAGATGCTCCGGGTGGCCGGGCCGAGCCCGGGACCTCGGTTATGCCTTCGCGAATGCGGTTTCTCGTCGAGTCCTCGGCTTCGGGGAGGGAGCGGAAAGTTCGGATTCACCTGGAAGTCCCTGGGAGTGACATCCGGTATCGGTGGACTCCTCCTCGGTTTCCTCCTCTATCTCCGAAGGGAAAAGGAGGCGAGGATCGAAAGGGAACGGAAACGTCACCTGGGCAAGGCCCTCGTCGGAGGTCGCTTCAGTCTCGTGGATCACGACGGCAAGCCGAGGACCAGCGAGGATTTCCACGGGCGATGGTGCCTCCTGTATTTCGGCTTCACTCATTGCCCGGACGTCTGCCCCGACGAGTTGGAAAAGCTGAGCAAGGCCGTGGACATCCTCGGGGAACGGGAGGGATCGGAATCCGTCCAACCGCTTTTCATCACGGTGGATCCGGAACGAGACTCGGTGCCCGTCGTCAAGGAGTACGTGCGAGAGTTCCATCCTCGCCTGCTGGGACTCACGGGGACCAAAGAACAGGTGGACCAGGCTTGCAAGGCCTATCGCATCTACTACAGCGCCGGACCGAGGGATCAAGACCAGGATTACATTGTCGATCACACCATCATGATCTACCTCGTGAATCCCGATGGGGAATTTGTGGATTATTACGGTGGGAATCGCAGCGCGGAGGAGATTGCATCGAGTGTCGCAGTCAATATCATCAAATATGAACAGGGAAAGAAAAAGTCTCTCTTCTCCCTCTGAAGTTCCAATGGACAGCCACTAGACGTATTTTTTTCTAACGTATTGTATAGTGTTGTGTCTCCGTCGTCGGTGTCATGAAGGATGAAATCCATGAAAGTTCACGGTTTTTCTGTATCTCCAATCGATACGGTATGGCTTCGTCATCTAGCTACAGAAAGGCACGCAGCCAAGGTTACTAAATACAAGGTCGTCGATTGGCGCTTCGTTTACATGCGCGGCAGACACGTTCTGGAAAGAGCATCCTTGTGACGTCAAACAGGGGAGCCAAGGGGAAGCCTCTTTTCGACGAGTCTGGGGAGTGGCTCGGTTGGAAGCTTCCTCGACTCCCACGACAGGGGATCCAGGCATTTCGGAATGCCAGTGCCGTCGTCTTGAGGAAGGGATACCCCAAGCAAGAAGTGGGAAATTAAGGCCTCGGCCGATGAAGGCCGAACTCGTATCGACGAAGTAACCTGTCGGGAAAAATCGAGTCTCCCGTGCTTAGAGGTTATTCGCATAGGCGGCGATTCATAGGGGCTCAGGGGGCTCGAGGCCCCCCCCCCCCCCCCCCACAAAAAAAAAAAAATGCCCCCCCCCCCCCCCCCCCCCCCCCCCCCCCAAAAAAAAAAAAAAAATTTGGCAGAAGAATAAGGAATACTTGCAGAACTGCCTTTGAGCCCCCCAAAATTTCTCAACAAATCGCCGCCTATGGTTATTCGGCTCTTAGATGAGCCCGATGAGGTCTCAAGCCTCTCGTTCCTGGTATCGTATCGTATGGCATCCTAATGGTCATGGAGGTAGCGAATCGGTTTCGACTCGTCTGCGTTCATTCGCGGCTATGGGCCGTCTTGCGAGTCTTCTCGCAAAATCGCAATGCAAAAATATGCAAGAGCAAATTCACAATGCGAAAGAAAACTTCCAGATAAAATAGGAAATATTGGCGTTGCCGTTGCCACACTGCCGAGGTTTTTTCCCGAGACGGTAAGGCCTAAACTTCTTTTGCCTGCACCTAAATTGCTTTTAATTTCCACAAAAATGAGTATTTTCATGGATGAACTGTTGGGGTGAGGATGTCGATACGCACGCTACTAAGGAGAAAGGTTTCGCTCGGTCGAGACGAGTCCATCTGAAGATTTTCAATACCCTGTCACCACGAAGCCCTTTGTTCCGTATCGAAATTAGGACCGACGCTCCGTTGAGTCTTTAGCCACGCATAGAAAAACTACGAGGGCAGGGAAGCCGGGGATACAGGGAGTGCGGGGGAGGACAGTGATACAGGAAGTAACCCTCCGTCTCGACTACTGGAAAGTGAGCGAGCCGAAAGACGCGAGTAAAAGGGACCGAGCTTCGGCTCATTTTATGCGCATCTTTGTGACATCACTCTGCAAGCGCGCATATTCGAGACCTCTATCCCGGGGGTCGAACGCAATCCCTTTTTACTCCGCACGTCCCAGCGCGAACGGAAACTTCCCGAAGAAACGCGTAGGAACGGTAGGAAGAAATACAGTCGGACTCGGTGGGCCTCGGCGACGAAAGCGATGCGGACCGTGGGCCTTGCCGACGTTCCATCGGTCTCCCCCGTCGCACGAGATCTTTCCCGGACGTCCGAAAACGAAATGCTTTCGGGTGAGGAAACGCAGCGATACGGCGAAGACGCGAAGAGGTGAGATTCGGGACCCTCTGGAAAATGTTTGTCGTCTGTTCTGCTTTTTACGTGCGAAACAGAAGAGGTGAGTCGAATCGGAGACCGAGTCATCGCAACGAAGGGATCTCGTGATGAGAGAAAAAATGAAAGTCTCCATGCCATGGGAGTAGACGAGTCCGAAAACTTGGAAAGACGCCTTCGTGAATCTTGATTTAAAATAACGAAGGTGCAATATCGCTCGTAAATCGAGGCTGTAAATTGTGCTCCCGTCAAAACTGATATACCTGAGGAATTATCTGATTGGAAAGAAAGTTCTCGGAATTTCATGAACAATTATTACAACCCAGTTTATTTAAAAGCAAAATCATCTCAATCATGAATGTAATCACCATTGGCCTCTATCACTTCACGCCAACGTTTACATATAAACACACGCAGAACATTCAAGCATGCTCTGGAAAAAAATTGTACTGGATATTCAAGAAGTTCCGAGAACTTTCTTTCCAATCAGATATTAACTCCCCGGTTCCTTAGCGTCGAGATGATACTCCATTCCTGAATTGCCTCCCGATGCCGAATTACCTGTTTTTTTTTAAGCACGAAGGAGAGTATCAACGATGTTTCCCGCTCACGCTAGACACTTTTGCTTGGGGTGTTCCTCCTGCTCGGCTGTTTGAGCCGAGTGAAAAACACCAAGTGGATGTCCGGTCTAACTCCCGTTCGGAAATGTACGCCAAGTCTATATACGTGCATAGTACAAAGGAGATTTTCGATCCGATCCGCTCCGAATCGATGGAGTCGCGGCGAAAGCAAGCGATCGGTTTGAGTCACCCTTTTCGTTTTTCACGTGTTCATCCTTTACCCAATACCCATCCCTCTCTCGACCGAGCAATAGTTTTATCTGGAGTAAGTAAGAATAATGATGTATTTCTTTTACTCTGTTAACTGGGAAGCAAAAAGAAATACCCAAGAAAGAGTGGATTGTTATTTCAATTCGTCCCGCATCTAACTTGAGTAATAAAAAAAAGTTGAGCTGCTTGAAAAATTGGAACTCCGAATAATCTATACGTTCGGTTCGATTTAGTGCAAAATGATCCAAGAATCGTTTCACACGAATTGAGTTAACTGTATTCGTCGTATAGTTTCAATAAAGACCTTAAATTTAAAAAAAATACATGAGAACGAGCAGAAAAGATGTTGTGACCACATACACGAAGCTAGCGACTCAGGAGATTGTAGCCACGTTGCCTGGCTTTCTTTCATATGAGCTGGGAGCATTACACTCTCTTTCCGATAGGCTTCGACAGGCTCTGTTAAGCTGGCAAAGCTGCAATTCCGCTTCTCCCCGGTCTCCCATACTCTTCCTATTCTCAATCATTATTTACTCCGTTCATGAGGCATGTGTCCGTGCATACGGTGATAGTTGCTCTCGAACTCGCAACGCGGCAATACCGAGATGACGTGATTGTTTTGGCAATGGTCTGCCTTCGTTAACTGAATGTGAGAAAAAGTCAAGGAAAACAGGGTGGACAGAAAGTCCCTGACGATTTCAAACCTTTATTACGACACCCTTTTTTAATCAACACCAAGGTTGTTATACATCAATTGAAAGCTTAACTCATGAGGTTTTTAACCGTTGTTGCAGAATGAAAATCGCAGTAGTGGTAATTTTTTATTTGCCAGATGGCGCGCCGACCTTTTGAGATCGCGCACGCTTCGTTTTTCCCCACCCAAAATTGACTATCACTCCTGAAACATTGAAAACTCTCCTTAATGAACTTCGACATTACCTCCATTAGTGGCACGATAGATGTGAAGTCGGTACTTCATTTCCCTCCACACGTCCTGCAGCATTGCCTTTGGAATGTTCGCGATGGTGTCACGGATCCGATTCCTAAGCGAGTAAGATTTAATATCTTTCTCAAAACTGTATGGATTGTTGATTTGGGCATCTGCAAACGTTCACTAGCGCGACGTAGGGACAGGGGTTGGACCATCCTGAAATGCATTTCGTACCCTTCCAACATCTTGTTCAGAGACACTCGACCTACCACCGCGATGGCGATCTTTAACGCTAGCTGTTTCGACGAACTTTCGATGCCAGTCAATAATGAAGCCTCTGGAGGGAGCATCTCCGACTTGGACATTGAATTCTCTTGCGAATTCACGTTGCACTTGAGTTGCAGGCTTAAATTTTGCATACCAGAGCACACCGTGCTTTTTGTTGCGTCGTGAGATATTTCAGAAGTGACTGTCAATTTTGAGCGGGAAAGAGCGAAGCGCGAGCGATCTCAAAAGTGGGGCGGCGCGCCATCTGGCACATAAAAAAATTACCACTACTGCGATTTTCATTCTGCAACAACGGTTAAAAACCTCATGAGTTAAGCTTTCAATTGATGTACCTTGGTGCTTTCAATTGGTGTACCGTGGATGACCTTGGGGTTGATTAAAAAAGGGTGTCGTAATAAAGGTTTGAAATCGTCAGGGACTTTCTGTCCACCCTGTAGAAAACTCCCATATCCGAGAGAAGCCGACCGGCATGCCAACTTTTTCTAGGACCGCAGTATAGGCTGCAATTATAGGCATGTCCCATAGTATCTTGGTGGAGGCGTTCTCCACAACGGACTCTGGCTGGTGTTCGTGCCACTTTTCTGAGATTTCCAGGCCGGCTTGCTTTGAGACACACCAATGCACATATTTGCACACTTGGTCGTGCCTGTACAAGTACTCCCTCGGGGCTAGTTCGGGGCAGGCACTGAGGAGGTGGTGAACCGTTTCGGGTGGTCCATGACAGCATCTGCAGCGGTCTTCCACATCCAGCTTCAGGATGTGCTTCTCGTAGTTACGAGTTCTAATGCACTGGTCCTGAATGGCTAGGATGTTGCTCTCTGTCTCGGCATTCAGCAGTCCCTTCTTCAGCCAGTTATAGCTGACGTC